GTGTTCGTCAGGGCAGCAACTGCCTGGTTGAAAGTCGGAAAGCTGTTCTCTGTCTTGCCCGAGGCGTCGACGATGACTCCCTTTCCAGAGAGGCTGGTCTCTGCGTATTTACCTCCGCATTTGCGAGAATCATCAGTGCCAACATCAAGGGCGACTTCGAGAGGAACAGCCGTGGCGAAAGTGGCCAGGGCCAGAACAGGGAGTAGCGCAACCATTTTCAAAAGAGTGTAAAAGTAGGAACGTGAGGTTGGTAAACTGCCATCAGAAATCAGATGGACATGAAGATCTTGCCCCCCGGGTATTTAAACGGCCATCCGGGAGTTCCAGTCTTCCACAACCCGCCGATCTGGTACTATTCTTTTTCCTCCGCGACATCCTTTCGAGGGCGCATCCTTGTGCCCTGCTCAATTGGGTTCATCTGAATGCTGTCAATAGGGTAGTATCCAATTACGCCGCCGGGGCCACGGCATTTGGGACATGGATAGCCCTGCAAATGCGGAGTGCAGAGACAGTGCATACGGAGCGTGTGGAGGAACATTCCGCCAATGGCGGCGTCTCCCCCCTCAAAATGATGCCAAGCACAAGCCTCTTTCGGTTTCTCCTTCTCCCCTGGTTAAGGGACTGCAAAAGCCACTGTGCGGCTCTTGGCCCAAATTCATAAACGCAAATAAACGTGAGATAAAATTAGCGAGTCAAGCTTCGCAACGGCGGCTGAATTCCAGAATCCCCGAGGCCATTGGTGGAGAAGTTTGCTTGGTTGGACGCAGACTCGCGTATGCCACCAACCAGACTCTTCTGTGAACGCCACGTCCGTGATCATGAGATGCCGTGGGCCTTTCTTTTGGTGATCTGGCATAGATGGGCTAGTCCCGAAAAGCAAACTGCATGGCAACATCGTGTGCCTCGGTTAGCCACAGACATGTTGACGCGTGCACGGGAAAAATGACGGGGAGATAAACACCGTCCGTTGCCCACCCGCGGAATCCATGGCTAGAGAAACCCGATTCATTCACGAATGGGTGCGATCAGATGGTTTCACGAAAGGCTAATTGATTGGTTTATATCGATCATCTTAGTGCCCCTGGGGCCAGGACTGAGTTGAATGCTTGGCGGTTGAGTCGGTAGCGTGTGGATCTTTCTGAAACCCCCCCTCAATATCGAGAAACCAGGATCTTCGTTTGGAAACACAGTTGCTCAGGCCTCTCTGAGCCCACTGAACGGGGACCTCAAGTTCTCGATGGCTATGCAACTAATATCAACAAGTGAGGGTATTGAGTAATCAGAAAGTCTTACGTTGTCTGTCGATTTCATGTAGATGTTGGGAAAGGGGGTTGCTGAGTCTAACTGGTTGTTGTCAAGTAGGGTCGCATTCGGTTCAGCCGGCAACTACACAATTGCCTGTTGATCGGAAAACGGCATAGAATATTCACTCTGCAACGTGACCGAGAACGCCAACGTGTCCTGCTATTTCATGTTCAGGAAAACTCGTATTGTGAATGATTTGTTGTTTTACAATCTTTATCGCTATCCTTCTTGTGTTACCCTAGAACTGACTACGACGCGCAGGTGACCCAGACATGGGCTCGAAGTCGTTTGTTCCCATGCGGTTGACGCTAGGCAAGGGGAATACGATGCTAATAGGCGACGTCATCCTCCCCGGACGTCTTCTTCTGCTGTAAGGGCGGCGTCTGGATCTTGACCGACCAGTTACATCCCATGATCCTACCCTGGAGCCCAACTCGCTCTCCGCAAACCCCACATCGCTCAGATTGTCCATCTCCTCCAATTCTCGTTCCACTGCAGGCGGAGGCTCGGCTTTGAACACTGCCTGTATGTCACCGTGTGGGTTGAAGCCACTGAAATTCCAATGCAGCAGCGATTGTGAGCGCGCTCGTCTTGGATGCGCGACTCTTCGTCGCTCGAGTGCACTTATGAGCAGTAGCGCCGGGGCGTTAAGTGCCCGGATGAGCGTGACGTTCAGGCTGTGGAAAGATCGAGATGTGAGTGCTGACTTGAGCGGCAGTAGCACAGCAAGAGCCAGCAGGTTGAATGGAGGAGGGTATGCGAAGATCGAGTCGCTCTTTACTCCGGCGAAGGTGATGACAGCTCGGCGGAATTGAATTTCCGCCGGCGCGTCCGCGATGATCTTGGAGAAAGTATTGCTTAACAAGGCAACGAGCAAGGTCAGAAAGAGAATGTTGCCCAAGAATGCGAACGCAATCATCAGAGCGGGCCCAAGGATTGGGTGGAAATCGGGAGACCGATCAATGCCGGTACCGTCAAGACCGAACCAGGTCCAAATGAGCCACTTGCACGTCTCGTACCATGTCAGAGATGCCTGGTCTCCAACTCCCGAGGTGGCGGCGTTGCTCCCGATGAGCCACTGAAGAGCGAGGAGGAAGCCCGCAAAACACCAGATGGAGATGAACGTCAAGATAGTGAAGTCCTTCATCATGGCGTGCATTGCTATGAAGACGATGTTGTCGGGCATGATGGTGAAAGCCACTCTCGTGAGGAGGATAGGGGCTGCCACGCAAAGGATGTGCACGCCATATCCATCCGCGATAACTCCTCCATACCCCAGTACATCGTATATCCTGGCGAATACATAGCAGCTGAAGATGAAGCAGAAGCTAATGTCGAGGAATGACCACAGAGTCTGAGAGTGGACCGCCCAGCCGTGCTCGATAATCGCGGCAAACTCATTCAGGGTCCACCCAGCTGTGTAAATGGCGAAGAAGCACTCCCATGCGCTTAAGGTGGGACTGCTACGGTTTACCATCGTCAACATGTAGAGCGCGACGAGAGTCACAAACTGACAAAACTCAGTTACCCGGCGTATCCAAGGAACCAGCATCCGCCTTTCGTCCAGTATTGGCGCTCGATGTGGCTCGTAGAGCGAGACTGAGATGAACTCGTAGTGATCGGGTAAAATGTCGACAAATGACAGGGGGGTGTAGGTCACAACCCCTAGGTAAACAGCGTCGACCAGCCTCTGACATGCAGAAGAGCTGAGGAAGACCTTACTTTCGGATATGATGGCTAGCTCAAGGGCTGTGAGCTTTCTTTCATGCCCATCGCGTCGCTGGATCGGCCACTGAAGCTGTCGGCATTCGCTTTCCACCTCTTCGGGCGCACCCTGGAAGGGGTCGAAGCCTTCGACAAGGACGTGCGCAAGGATCAGAAGGCCGATTTCACCTGGATGATCTTCATGGTATCGGCGCAACACGCGGCTTGCAACCAGTTCGCAGAGTGCAGCGCGCGATACGTTGACAGTCTGGTGAGCTGTGCTTGTATGTTGCCTCAAGAATTGGATGCGATTCGCCAGCAGGCAGTAGACTACACCGAGGTCAGTTCAAATGTTGGGATCAAAGCGAGCACAAGGAGCCGCACCGATCGTGGGATCATCGGGATCATAGAGTCTGTCAACGAGAGGGCGGACGACGAGTGAGTTCATCCGCGGTTCTCGCAGCTGATCCAACGTGTAAGGGTCGTCTTGAAGTCGATGTCAACGATATTCTTGTGATACCAACAGTCAAGGGGACCTACCTATGCTTGCTAGGATGAGTCGTCGAATTCTATCGGGATATGTCAGTCATATGCGTAGTCGCTGGTCAACATCCGGTAAGTCTCACCGATGGATTGTGAAGTACACCGACGGGGGGATCTCCGTGCTAACGCTCCCAGTAGCGCTCGCTGAAATATGCCTCTCAGCTTCTAAATCAGGTTCGATACCATTTGCGCCAGGCGCCTCTCCATCTCCATCACCCCATGGCGACAGCGGTCGAGTCCAGTCGATGAGATCCGGGGTCCGGGGGGCCTCGGCTTCTTCCATCTGACGTCAAAGATTCGGTATCGGAATGTTGTCTAAATGGTTTCGGAGAATTTCTTGGTGACGGATTTTGGCGTGTTGTGGGACAACCACTCCAGCACTTCCCTTCCAACCCGGTCCGATGCACGCCCTCTCTAGCCCAGCAACTCTAGATAGGGAAACAGCCGTTCGTTTTGGACATGTTGAAAAGTGGTGGTAAAGAGATGAAAGAGTCGCAAATAGCTAAGCTTGGGCGGCCTCCCCCGTGAGGGGTTTATTTACACCACGCCGCTCGTCCCCCTGACTCGATGAAGTGTCACAGCACTAACGCGATCCGATCAGCATGCACTGCCACGCTCGGGCACCTGACGTAGATGGACTAGAGCCGCGGCAACATGCGGCTCACCGACAACCTTAATTTCCTCACCGAGGTGAAGAATTTGAATATCAGATGATAGATTAGTTTTGAGACAACACATACTAGGTCGACAATCCAAAATGAAATGGCGAGCCACATTCGTAGATAACACAAGAATAGAACACTTGACGGCCTGTGTCACGCAAAAGAAGAGGACGATCCTTTGCGGGTTGCAACTTGGACTACGCAGCAACACGCTGATGGAGGAGGAAACATCATCTTGATGCACCAAAAATTGTGGGAGATTTCTCACACCAACCAAAAGGCAGTTGAAAGGGACGAGACTCGAACTCGCGCGGGTTGCCCCACCAGGAAACAGATGTTAAGCTGACCTTAACCTGGCGCCATAACCAACTCGGCCACCCTTCCATGGGCACCTGGTTGATGAACCGGTGATTGTTGACGGGGTGCTTCGGATTTGTGAATATGGAGCAAAGCTGGCTAGGGCTTTGCCCAGACCAACCTCGACCTGTACGGGTACAGCGCGATCCCTGTTCGATGAGTGGGTCCCGTTCTCGATGGCCAACCAACTTACATACCACAAAGATGAGGACCTACGTGATATGTATTTTGGCTGAGGAATCAATCGCAGTATGACTATTATGCTAGAGAGTTATTCGGAACTTTGGGATGAGCGTAAATTGAACGGTGCAATGGAGCCAAGGCATCGCGGTCCACTACAAACATCAAGGAGAACAGTGAGCTATTTGCTGGTATTGTGATGCTTACTGATTTGCATAAAAGCTGCGTACCTCTCATTGTTACCCATAGCTACGAGTATAAAACATTTCGTTTTGGTGGACTCATGCCCTTTCTCTCATGTAGTAGCATCTGCACCTTGTTGTCTTCGTCAATCCGAACCTTGACAACCTTGTTCCACACTCCAGGTGACTTGCGAACACCCGCACCAACATGGTTCAGCTCCACATCATCGGGCGGGTTCGATCGTAATGCCAGCAGCATCAAATCAGCCAAGTCACCCCAACCAACCACACTTCTAAGATGAAACCGTCTTCGACCCACAAGCTGGCCCATGAGTTCGGTGGCATGTGATGAGAAGATGGTGAAGCCGTAGATGCCGACCACTGCGAGGTAGATGTACATCATGACCAGAGCAAATTGTAATGTCTTGGTAAATTGACCAGATCCGTATCCGTACCGCTGAGTTTCGAAATCGATCTGGACTGTGTTGCGGAATTCTTGGGCAACCTCCGAAACAGTGAGCGTGAGGGGCATCGGCTCCGTGTAGTTGTTCCAGTAAGAAAGTGATGGGTACGTTTTGTTGTTCTGAGCCTCGACTCTATGGATACCCGACTCGTACCCCATCTGCTCTTTGAGGTCAATCCACTTCATAGATGTATCCGTCTCCTCGAGAATGAGAGCGGCTCTCTCGTGAGAGGATGTTCTTGCCAGACTGTCTGTGAGAAAAACACCAAAAACCTTAGTCAAGAAGATTTCAGTACTCTTCTGATTCCCGTCTACCGTGTCCATGTACGTGAATTTCGTCCCATTCTGCTCTCGGCTATCCAGGAACTGGTTCAAGATCAATTTGATAGGTGATGTTGCCGAAGCCCCGGGGGCTGAGTTCCCTGACACCATCCGCGTCATGTTGAACTCAGGGTCAATGAGCTTGACCCAAGTGGGATCTGCCTGTACTACCCTGTCCGATTGCGCCGTGGTATTCTGCAACATTGCAGTCATGTCATCCGCTGAGCTGAAGTTGGACGAGAGCATGCTGGAATCCCCAGAATCCAATGTGAAAGACGCAGGGACCCAGCGCGGCAGAAAGCTGCATGTGTAAACCCACAGCCTTTGTTTCGATCCGTCACCGACGTAAGGGATCGTACCGGCTATGAGCATCGCTCCGCCATGGGATTTCTTGTCGTAGTAGTGGAGATTATAAGTCATTCTAGGCGCGACACTCGTATCGTTCCATGTCCCGGATTTGAATGTAGGCTTGTCCTGCTGGACGCGAAGACACCCAGCATCACCGTAGCAGTTGAGCGCCGACACCGGGAAAGATGGGAGAGCTTTGCTTTGGAGAAGTTGATCGCGATCGTACAAGACGCACTTCCCGTGTACAAAGGGTTGTTGCAATGGTGTCGTAGTCGTAAGCTGGTAGCGCTTTGCGTCCGTAACAGTCCCGATAGGCACTGGCTTCCGAGCAACGTACTTGGCAAAAAGTCCAATCGTAGTCATGATCGAACTAGATGGAGTTGTGAACATCAAAACGGATCCGTCGTTCTGAGTAACGTGCTCGGACAAAGACAATCGACGACGGAGCTCCGTTGATGGATGTTGGAAGGTGATGTTGTCTGTCAGTCCAGCATATCGGAATCCTTCCGCCCAGTTCCAAATGTCGGAAAAGCCGCCGACCGGACACCAATATGTATAGAGTGCCTCGGTAGTGTTGCACTCTGGTGTTGAATCGAATAAAGAGCTGTTCAGGCTTCGAGGCCAAGCTTCTTCCGGCGAGGCTCCGTAGCTAAGCGGCATCCTGACATCCTGGAAAGCACCGTCGAGGTCAAACCATCCCAGACTGGGCACCAGCAAAATTGCGGAAGCCGGTCCGACGACAGTAGACATGATGGTCGCAAAGACTAGGTAGGCGACCAAACCGATCTCCCAGATATTTAATGTGACACCCTTGCCCTGCTTCCAAAAAGCACCACTAAGAAGATACTCTAGGTCTCCAACTCGGTAACCACCAGTAAGGAAGCCAAGGCGGACACCTTTGCCCACAAGTCTGCGCTTGAACATGGCGACAGAGATGGAAGCGAGAGATGCAACGATCATAATCTCATGGATTTTGGATGCCAGCTGGAGCAAGTTGCTGATGACTGTCGCGCTGAGCTTGACGTGGATGTTGCTGAATGGCTCGACCCCGTGCTCTGGGTACCAAAATAGCTGCATGTGGCTGATCCAGATAATGCCACAGGTGACCGCGATAGCTGGAGCATGCACAAGCCATCTCAGGAAGAATCGCTTTGCTGTTCCGCGAATGACTGGTTTAGGGCCCGTCTTGTTACTGCGTCCGGGAAAGAAGCGCCGTTTAGGTTCGTCTTCGTCGTAATCGAACTGACTCTTGACTTCGGCAACTGTCGTAGTGCTGTCCAGGAAGGGCTTTGCAGAGGGCTCGGCCCATCCCTCCCCTGAGTAGGCATTCTGCCTCGTTGAGTATGGCCGAGGGTAGTTGGAGGGAGTCTCCATATTGCCCGAGATATGGTAGTAGAAGAGCGATCTTGAGGTGAAGTCCTGGGGTGACAAGTCTCAGGGGTAATACGCATATTTGTATCATATGTAGGCAAGGCATGGAGCTGTCGATCTCCCTTCTACGGCTTAGGCTTTGAACTTCTGGTGCTCGGTCCTAGCGGCAGATGGAGGTGTCTCTGCTCATAAGCCTCGTCGCTTGGAGAGGAAGCTTAAGCTTGATCCTTCATTCAGCCTCAGCCGGTGTTCCTGGGCTGTTCCAAGCCATCTTCCAACGGCTTAGTAGCTCGGAAGACCAGCTAGCTGCAGGAAAGGGTTCACGAAAGGGGCTTCCAAGTCCTTTTCTGATCATCTGGAATCCCGAAAAGTAGTCTTTGCGACAGGCAGCATAGATATTGAGGGTCCGTGGCGGTGAGTGGCTGCACAAGCGCTGCTTAGGTGCCGTCGCCAAACGGCGGTTGTGCTGGAAGTCAGCACCAAGCAATCGGCAGTGGCGTTAGCGTCAGGGATGGCGCTTGTTAGTCCTATTAGCAACCATCCCTTGTCTAATTTTGTTCCAAGTAGACAATCTTTCATAGATACTGCAAGTCTTCGCTTGGGCTTTACCGTCTCTCAATTCTTTCGGCGGCATTTGATAGCTTAGGTGGGTTCGGAACGAGCTCGGGAGACTTTCGGAAGACTTCCGGAGACATGCTCCGATAGGTGGGGCCGAGTCAAGCTCCGCATTGTAGGATTGAGGTAATTTTTATTCGTAATCAGATCGTCTCCTATCACCTCTCTTGGCATTTGAAACCGAACTGCTCGGCTTGAGTGTCTGCCTTCATTGTCCGCGAGTTTCAAACAACATGTAACCCGGGCACTGCGCCTTCCACCAGCTCAGAAAATCGCTCATTCACAGCGGATGCCTTCGTTCTTCCAACCATAGCAAAGAGTTCGGGGATTTAACCTTTTGCGTAACGAATATCACTGTCTAGTTGGGTAATAATTTCGCTGGTCGCAAATATCCATAATGGCACCACACTCAAACACGGATATGGTACCCGCCACCGCCGATGCCGTGCCGGTGAAGAAGAGTTGGGAGCCTCACGCAAAGGAAGGCCAGACGGCTCTTCAAGCATTGTCTCAAGGCACACCTCTGTCTGGCATCCCAACTTTCCCATCATTCCATGAACACCGCACTCACATCTTCGAACACATGGCCGCCACATTCCGCATCTTCGCCCGCAAGGGATTCAACGAGGGCATGGCCGGGCACATCTCCGTTCGCGACCCCGAGAACCTGCACACGTTCTGGGCCAATCCGCTTGGTCGTCCGTGGCAGCTTATGCGAGCCTCGGATATGATTCTCGTCGACTACAATGGCAACGCTATCGGCGGAAACATGAGTCTGCCTTCAAACGCTGCTGGCTTTCTCATTCACAGCGCTCTGCACAAGGCTCGGCCCGACGTCAACGCGGCTTGTCATGCACATACCATATACGGCAAGGCCTGGTCCGCCTTTGGTAGACCGCTGGAGATGATCAATCAAGATGCTTGCATATTTTACGGCAAGGCACAGGCAGTTTATGAGGACTTTGGGGGAGTGGTGTTCGATGAGGAGGAGGGCAAGCGGCTGGCCGAAGCTCTGGGACCAGAGGGAAAGGTGATGACTTTGACGACCCACGGTCTATTGACTGTGGGCCAGACAGTCGATGAAGCAGCGTACCTGTTTACTCTCATGGAGAAGAGCTGCCAAGTTCAGCTTTTGGCTGAAGCCGCTGCTGCTAATGGCATACCAAAAAGGATCATCGAAGATAACGTTGCTGCGTACACGTTCAGGATGACGTCTAGCCCCGACAGCTTGTATCGAGAGTTCCAGCCAGATTTTGAGGTAGAAGACTTCTTGAGTAATGGAGACTTTCGGAAATAGAATATCCTAGACTTTACGAGACACGCGGAATAAAAATAGCAAGTGTGCACACCAATCATCCAGCAAGTCGTGCATTGAAGGTGACAGCAGTGAGGGGGAGAGTTGCGCATGTCCTTCACGTCTGATCCATAGTATTTATGAGGCCGAAATTCGGTTGGTATTACGACTATAGTGCTCGCGTTGCGGCAGATTTGCTCCTAGCTAATTTGTCATGACGCAAAATTAAGAATCTTTGCGGTAAAAAGCAAGCCACTTGTAGTAAAAAGGTCTCGACTGCTCTTGCGCCGTGCCAGACGCCTCCTCATTTCTCAACTCTCTCTGAGGTAAATCGACCGCCTCACCGTCAAGACCCGTGTTCGTGACGGCGTTCTGTTGCTTGCCAAGGTAGAAGTCAGGCATAAAGAATGTGGCGAACAGAGGGACCGCAGCCAGGAGAAGGGCGGTAATGGCGATGTGGCCGTTAACGTGGGCATAGGCGCGAATGGCTCCCTGCCTGATGGGATCATTGAAGTCGTATGTGGTGCGTAACTTCTTGATATTTCCGTACAGCTTCGCGAGCGTTTTCTCGTCGACGTCGGGCATCTCCTTCCGCATGCGGTCAAGCATCTCGCTGGTCCAGATGGCGGATGAGACGGCGCTTCCAACTGATGAACCCAAGGTTGACCACAGCGTGAGCACAGCAATGATCGTAGCCATATCCTCATGGGGTACCGATGCTTGGCTGCCCACGCGTGCGCCAACGACGTTGAACGAACCCAAGCAATAGAGAAGTTGCGCGACTACCAGTCGGGCCGTGTCCTGCACCATGTTGCCGTTAGGTTGAACGAGTAGACCGTAGGCGATCAGCCTGGCCACTGCGCCAAAGACCATCATGGACTTGTAACGGTGGGTGGATCTTTGGATGAGGCCAACGATAGGCCCCATGATGCTGAGTCCCATTGTAGTAATGCCCAAAAAAATGGTCCACTCGTAAGTAGACCATTGCTTGATGATGTAGACGTACGAGGAGAAGTAGGTGTTTCGCACTGCCGAGGCCATTTGGTTGAATGTGTAGATCGCGGCCGCCGCGAGGAACGTGCGGTTCTGAAGGATGTGTTTCGTCATGAACGGCTTTGGGGAGACGTACATCTCAAATAGAACGAAACCGATAAGAAGAACGAAGCCAACAACGAGCATGGCAATGATTCTCGGGCTGGCCCAACCGCCGTCAGCGCTCTCGGCAAGGGTGAAGGGCAGCAAGATGAGCGAAAACGCCGTTCCAAGAATGATGAGCCCGAAAATATCAATGTCGATCAACCCTTCACCGAACAGCTTCATCCAGTAAGACAGTCCCACTGATTGGGCTGATCCATCCGACTCGCCAGCAGCCCCGGTCCTAAGACGCTTAGAAGCAGCCATAGTGACCATGCCCATCTTCTCTCCTCGTCGCTGCATGGAGTAGAGAGTGAAAATGGCCGGGACAAGGAGTACCGGCACCACGATAGCGAACATGCCCAAGCCCCATCGCCAATTATCAACGAAGCCCTCCGCAATGAAGCCGTTGACAGGCACAGTGACGACGAACGGGATCGAGAGGGCGGCGCCGAAGAAGCCTCTCCACTGTAACGGGGTGAGATCACCGACGATGATATCGCTAAGGAGGTCGAGACCAGACTTCCCCACGGAGGTGAAGCAGATGCCCACGGTATAGGCAGCGAAGGTGCTGGAACTAGCCGCGACGGCGAAGCCAACAACGTAGAAGACAAGAATAACAACGTAGGTCGTCGGGCGGGAGGTAATGTCGGCTAGCTTGCCGATGAAGGGCTTGCTGATCGCACGGATGATCTGACTGGCGGTACTCACAGCCGCGAGCGAGCTGTGTTGGCCGAACGTCGAGCTGGCCATGGTGGTGAAGATGGTCCCAGTGATGCCCTGGTCAAGGGCATAGGCGAACATGGTTAAGCCGATGGAGATGCCCAGCAGCCAGAGAATGATCTTGCCGGACTTCCCAGACTGGTAAAGGACCTTGTTGAAGGCTTCAACTCTGCTGACACCGATACCGGCGTGTCCATCATCAGCAGCACCCGAGCGAGATGCGTCGAATACAGGTTTGGGATAGTCGCTGGATTTACCGTCCCCGTCGAGATGCTGTTCATGACTAAGCGGAGCATCATGAGAGACCGAAGGCGGGAATCGGTCGGCAGCTTTCGAATGGGCCGCTGGACCTCCGGTTGGTGTTGACATCTTCGTTGATCTTTTGGCCAGAAGGCTCTAAGATTTAGGCTGTCGTCGGCGGCGAAGAGGATGAAGAGGTAAGGAAAGACCGCAGCAAAGGAAAATCGGAACGTGGACTGCCCATCTTTTACATAAATTTCATCAAACCGGCTGGAGGGTAATTAAGGTGTCTTGAAATGGTAACTTTAAACACATCCCGGCGAAGGATTCGAACCAGACGAACCAAGCCAATGCAGCCAAGCATCTTACACGAGGGAGCCCGCAAAAGACCGGATTCTGCCCAATTGCCACTGTGACATGGCGCGATCTGATAAAAATTTGACAACCTAATGCCTGTCTCTGCTGACATCGTTTGATTCGTTCAAGGGATCTACCCCACTCTTCCCGTCAAAAGCAGGAGAGGCAACTTACCAAAGTTCTTTTTGAGTGCGAGACCCCCACACAAGTTTGCCTCTTCGCTGGTGCCTGGGTACGTTGTAGTATTCTCAGAGAAAAGATTTTCTGAGATGTACGCCAGAATAATGCATCGCCTAGCTTCTACTACAGACTCGACTGTGTAAAATAGAACATGAAGACAAATTTCGTGTACAGATCTTGATTTAATGAAGACGCCGAAGACGTCTACGAGAACCAGCACATCCATATTTTCGAGAGCGATTTCGGCAACGCCCATGCGGTGGGTCACGACTCTTTCACAGCACTGAATGAGAATATGGATACGGGTCTCCTTTCTTGGACATTCAACGGCCGACTTGACGAGACCCTAATGGTACTTTCTTCGGAGGTATGGTTTGAAATAGGTGATCCTCCGCAAAATTGGTAACTGGGTAAATTTTAGGGCGACCTGACTTGCCCTGGTAGGTCCAGTAAATCGGCCGACTCGCCGCACACCACCGGGAGCAGAGTCTGACTTCCGCGCCCTTACCAAGGACCAAGAGCCGGTGTCAAAGGCCGACCCGGAATTACTGCTGGACCCCGTGCAACTGCTGTGGCTCGGATGACTGAGGTCTACAGGGTGGTTGCGGCCGGGAAGAGGCAGAGCCCCACACCCGGCCGTTTGTCCTTGTCCGTCTTCGAGGCTGAGTATGACTGTCCATGATCAACCTACACGCATCAGGAGGACGGATTGCAATTGTGCTACAATATCGATGCTGCGCACTATCCAACCATAGGGTAATGCGGTGCACTAAACATCCTGCTACATATAGATCCTACAATGATGCATATAGACATTTTGGCATACGTCGCGGTGTTTTCATGTTCTGGCTAAAACTTGGAGTTGTCTGAGCAGCCGCTTGTTGAAGTTCCTTCTCGGTGATGATGTCTGCCGCGATGGGGACTCTCAATTGTGAAGGTAGGCAAGTTTGATCCTGTACTTGTGTTGGCGGAGATTCGCTGGCGCTCGGGAAGCCGCTAGCGGCTTCAGCGGGGGGCTTGGTAATCGGCAGATATCGAAGTCAACGGTCTGAATCGCCGAAGCGGTATTGTTATCGGATTCAACACCGTCCGGGACAATTGTTACCGCTTACGTATCGGTTTCCCCGCAAATTCACCATCAAGGCCAAACGGTTCGCCGCGGGGGATATTTGCCTATCATCTTGCTGACATGTTTTCACATACTTTCAGTTTTCAACACTGCACGCTAGGAAGACTTCTGCCTCAAACCTTCTGATCTCAAGCCCAACATGTCGCAACTCAACCTTGTCGAGGCTTCAATCGAAGACATACAAAACGCTCTCAACTACGGTTCAATAACCAGTGTTGAGCTGGTGGCCCGCTACTTACGTCGCATAAGCACATACGATTGCCGCAACACAGCACTGAACTCCATTCCGGTTCTGAACAGCAAGCTATTCGAAGAAGCAGCCCAGTCCGATGATAGGCGCGCATCAGGTGCCTTAGTTCGACCACTTGAAGGCATACCTTACACCGTTAAGGACAGCTACAAAGTTAAAGGGCTTGTGGCTGCGGCTGGATCACCCGCATTCAAGGACCTCGTCGCAAACGAGGATGCATTTCTGGTTGAGAAGATCCGGGAAGCAGGTGGCATTCTACTAGGCAGGACCAATATGCCTGCAGTTGCCTGCGGCGGTATGCAGAGAGGCATTTGGGGACGGGCGGAGAACCCGTATAACCCAGATTATCTCGCAGCCGGGTTTGCATCGGGTTCCTCAAACGGGTCTGCTGTCTCTACCGCGGCGTCATTTGCATCTTTTGGGCTCGGCGGCGAGACGGTGTCATCTGGAAGATCACCCGCTAGCAACAATGCGCTCATTGCATACACACCATCCCGACATTTTCTCTCCCCGCGGGGTAGCTGGCCGCTATACCCGACATGCGACGTCCCTGTTCCTCATACGAGAACAATGAAGGACATGTTTGCCCTTCTGGATGTCATTGCTGTGGAGGATCCAGTCAAAAATGGGAACTTCTGGCGACAGCAGCCATTTGTGAAGCTTCCAGAACCATGGCAGGAGAAGCCGAAGTCCTTTGGTGAGCTAGCTGGATGCAAGTCCCTTGCAGGCTTACGAATTGCTGTTCCCGAAATGTACATTGGCGGTTCTACCCCATCTGGAGCAAAACCGGTGACAACAAGTCCAGAGGCTATCGAGCTGTGGAAGCAAGCCAAAAAGGATCTCGAGGCGCTTGGTGCGGAAGTCCTTTTGGTTGACGACTTTCCTGCAGTTACAGCCTATGAAAATGATGACTTGCTGCCCGAGGGCTGCCCAAGAAGACCAAAGGACTGGGTTTCCATGGAAAGGAGTGCCCTCATCGCCAATGCCTGGAATGGCTTTCTCAAAAGCTTTGAGGACCCTAAAATCCCGGACCTCGCTGCGGTCGACCCTTTCACCATTTATCCAGACTCCTTACGCACAGAGCCTGAAATGAGACATTTCGACAAACCGAACGCCATTCTGTACCATAAGCTGGTCGATTACATCAGGAAAGGCAGCCTTACCGATATCGAAGGGCTTGATGTGGCTGTTCAAGCTTTGGAAGGAATGCGCGAGAAACTTTTTGAAGACTGGCTCACGGGACTGGGCTGTGACTTCGTCGCGTTCCCAGCCGCTGGAGATGTCGGTCCTGCCAATGCTGACTCTAGCTTCGAGGGCGCGGACCTAGCATGGCAAAATGGCGTTCATTACAGCAATGGCAACAGAGTCATTCGCCATTTGGGCATCCCGACGGTATCTGTGCCGATGGGTATCCTGGCAGATAAGGGCGTCCCAATGAACTTGACTTTTGCTGGAAGAGCATATGATGACGTCAAGTTGCTCAAGTGGGCGCATGCGTTTGAGGCAAAGACGCAGCACCGAGTTCCGCCACCTTACACGCCTCTCCTCGACTCGGACGTTTTGCAGCTTGGTCACTCTATGAATGCAACGGCGCCCCGTCCTCAGTTAGTCGTTGAGAGATTTGAGGTTGTCCAAGGCGGCAGCGGCTCATTCCTCCACGTAATTGTCGACGGCTTCGTGAAAGCCATCCCCTCTGGCCAGCAGAATCCGGTGCTGGAGGTCACGATCGATGGAGTAAGAGTTCCTATGGAAAGGGTCCGTACAAGTATAGAGTCAGAGAGCTTGGATGCACAAAAGAAGACGTACTTCAAGGTGAAAGTAGAAACTCCCAAGCCTGTTTCAAGGGAGGGCCTCGAGAAGACTTGGGCTCCAGTTGCTCGGGACAAGACTATGGCCGTGGTACTAGCTAGGGCTTGTCTTGGTGGAAGGCCGACGGGATGGTTTGGACTGATTTAAAAACACTTTTATAGGTGGACACGAGTTGCATCGGCGATTCACGGTTGGCATGTTGACCACACTGAATCAAAGTTAAACACACTAAAACACTCGATCGCGGGATCTTTATACAGCTTGCCCCGTTCCCTGTTGAGGGGTTCAAGAATCTTGAAATGCCATCATTACTCAGAGTGTCTACTTGTCATCTTTTTGCGCCTTATGGGCTTTAAGATCAAAATCCTTCTCCTCATTCTTCACCTTCTCGGGTGTACATTCGACGGCCTCTCTTCCCTTTTTTCACCTGCCAGCCTCACTGTTCACCTATGTTTTCGACCTGGTTAGACACTTCCTCGTTCTGGGTTGGTCAGCGTTAGGTCTTGCTCATTCTCTCTGCTTGCATTCCGCTCCATAAGCCTCTTCCATGGCTTTCAATGCCGGGACTCTCCACTTCTTCATCCAGTCACCGCACATCAACTGAGAAGCAGTGATCCTGTCCTCAGGCTCCAGGCAGAAAATGCACTTCAGTAGTTCATAGATGTCCTGAAGCTCTTCATCCGATATATCTCCGCGTCTACTTTTCTTCAGCCAGACAATAACGCGTTCCTTCAACGGCGGACCAAAGTCGTCGGAATCGTGGTCTTAAAGGAGCATGTGGCAAATTTGCTCGTGTGTGTAGTTGAAGTTGGGGCCAAGGGATTCAACCACAGTTCGGGAACTGAAGACGTTAAAGATGATGTACCCAAGAGACCACACGTCTGAAGGGAACCCAAGGGGCAAATTATTCTCTTTGGCATTCCTCGACTCAGGGGCTTGGTAGAATGCCGGTGTAGCGAGGTCGTATCTCGTGCTCATGCCAGGGCTCCACGACTCTCCAAAGTCACCGATGGCAATCTTGGCTCTGTCTATAGCAATAGTGTCGCATCCGCTGTTCGTAATGATCCTGCGGACGATGTAAGGGGGGCCTTCTGGAGCTGGCGGTGTCCCTTCTAGAACAGCCGTCTTGTTTGAGAAGAGGGACCTTCTCGGGCGTTCCATAGGCAGTATAGACGTCAGAGACCTTGCAGTCAGCCACCTCCGCATCTCTGAACTTCAGAAAAACGTTGCCCGGGTGTAAGTCTAGGATCTGTGTCAGCGCGAGATTGTGGTCATCAATTCCCCAAACGTACCTCCATGAACGATGCCGGAAGCATGCAGCGACGCTAGTCCTTGAATGACTTGTGCCACGATGGCCCGCGCTGTCTCAAGTGGAAATAATCGACTGCGTTGGCACTCAGCTTGACTTTGAGCGACCATTGTGCGGACTGGGGTGCTGACGAAGCACAAGTGAGAGCCATTTGGACCATCGTGGCGGAAGGTGTCATTTTGAATGTGATAGGTGTGCCAAACACTGAGGGGCCAAAATTGTATCCATCGTTGGTCCATCCAGCTACATCAGCCTTCAATATCTTGATGGCAACGTTGCGACCCAACTTCCCATCGTGGCCGAGCCAGACGGTCGAGAATCCACCATGCCCAAGCTTGTGGAAAACGATATACCTGCCATATTCCAGTCGATCTCCAAGTTGAACAGGGTGAAATCCTCCCTGTGCGTAATCGCTCAAATACTCTTCAGGCGCATCGAATAGAATGCCTTCCGCCTGCTCTAACTCATCTATGGTCCATGTTGGATTGGCGGCGACAAGCTCAATAGCAGCGGTTTTAAATTCGGCGCCGGGAATCATTCCAGTGAACTTGTCGGGAGTGCCTATGATCGTCGCACTGGTTGAGGCAAGCGCGAAGGAAACTTTTGAAGCCAACGAGGCTGTGCTGAAGGAGAGATTCAGCCAGTGAAGTGGAAACGAAATATTGTTTTTCATGTGGACCGAAGAAAAGCCAAATAGAACATGAGAGTCGGAAAAAATGGCAAGGGTCAATGTTCTTGCCTTACATGAGGTCCTCCAGTGACTGCTTGTTTGCGGCTGTTTTGTAGGACAAAGAGTGTGGGTCAGCACACGACCGTCCTTGGTGTTTGCCCTCCAGTGCACTGATTGGCATCCAATTCAATTTCCACTGCACTTGGTTTAGTTCGATTGCAGGATAATTGTCATGCCCAATGTCCAGCAGATGGACTGCGGTTCCCAGAATGCGACATGTCTTGATGCGAGTGCAACAGAAGGGGTGCAGGAAAACCTGAATTCAACGATCTAAGTTTATTCATGAATCTGGACTACGCATATGTCAGTCTCTCCTTAATGTAAGCTTGCTGACGCTAGTTCGGGCTCATGCCTTTCCAACCTCCTTGTTCTTCGCTTCTCTTCCCTTCTTCATGGCCTCCATGGCTGGTAGTCCCCATTTCTTCATCCAAAGTGAGAATACGAGATCAGAAGCAGTCGCCCTTTCATTAGGAAGCCAGTGAAAGATGGATTCCAGAAGAGCCAACAAGTCTTCGAGCTCCTCATCCATGACATGATCCGGATCATAACCGCGATCTTTCGGGAGCCAAACCTTCACCCGCCGTCTCAATGATGCTTTAGTTTCGTCATCAATGGTTTCGTTTTCATCCAAATCATCATGGGCTACATCATTGTTGCCCTCATTGCTATCCAACCCGTCTTTTTTCTTCGACAGATCCCACCATTGCTTTGGTGGCTTTCCAATCATTCCGACCGTTCTTGCGAAATTGACGTCGGGGTCATAATGCACCGTATCCAAAATGACCCTAACTCCAAACAGCTGGTATATGAGACATCCGAGAGACCAGATATCTGCAGGTCGATCCATGGTGATGTTGAGTCTCTTCCCAAACAATGATTCGGGTGCTTGAGAGGGAGGCCACGTTGTAAGTTCGTGCTTCGTCTCCTGCGATGGCCTCCATGACTCGCTGAAGTCACCAATCATTACCTCTGCGTCTGGAAGCTCAATAGTGTCGAATCCTCTTATGGCGTACACGCTCGAAACGATGTATGGCGGCGCGTTATCGGGGACCGGGGGCTTCCTGAGAGTTGCTGCTTGGTACAAGTGCAGTGGAATTTGGGGAGGGCGATCGTATGATTTGTATATCTCTTCGATTGTCTGCGTTTCGAATGTCTGATCTGGATGTGGCAGTATAATATTGCCGGGGTGCAAATCTATCTTTCGAATCAGCGTGCTTTCAATTTAAATCTGTCGGCAGTACCCACCTCCATGAACGATGCCGATAGAATGCAAAGCGTCCAAACTGATGATGATTTGGGCCGTGATAGCTCGGGCTACTTCCGCAGGCAAAGCCCGTTTCTTTTTCATCCGTAACAGGCCTTGGGCAACCGTAAATGAAGCCGGCTTGCTCACGAGACAGCTGTGGGTTCCGTTGGGCCCTTGTAGTGAAAGTGGTGTAGAAGGGTTTGCAGGTACTCTCGGCCGGTCTTTGGAACTTCACTGCTCGAGATGAACTTGAGAACATCGGCTTCGTTTGAAGACTTGGTAAATTGGGCTCCGGTGATCTTGATCGCGACATTGCAGTTCACCTTCTCGTCGTGCGCAAGCCACGCCGTTGAAAAGCTTGCACGGCCGAGCTTGTGGAAAATCGTGTATCTTCCATCGGCGAGTTGATCTCCAATCCGGACCGGATGCAGCCCCCCTTCATAGTAATTTGCGTAGAACTCTTCTGGCTCGTCATCGTTCCAGACCAGGATATCTAGTTTGTCTAAATCATCCTGCGTCCATGTCTCCCCAAAGGTGAAATCAATGTTCGGATGCCGCGACTCAGCTTCAATCTTGGCCGTACTTTTGCCGGGGCAAGAGTTGCCGGTGGACGTATCCATTGCCGCCGTGGTCGAGCATGAGGAATTGTCGGCCATCTTTCTGGTAGCAGCCGTCTGACAGGAAAGAGATTGGAGATGAAAAATATGTTAAAGACGGAGGTGAAATGAAATCCGAAGAAAATCGTGGGGTTTTTTGGGAATTTGAATGCTGCTGGGGAACAAAAATGCTGTAGTGAATGTGGGAAGCTAACGTGTGAGGTGAAGTCCACGTCCAACAAATTCTCACCCTTCAATTCAACGAGCCAGATCGCTTCATACCAAGCAGAGCAAGGACCTGCTAAAAATAAAATGCAAGCCCGTTTTCACGTCTCTGTTTGGATGTAAGTTGGGACAAACAGAAGGTGCGAACGGCACCAACAAAGAGAGGGTTCTTTCCAGGTAGGGCCCTTCGAGAACCTAAGGATTTCTTGGATTTAACAATCAGAAAACATTCCCCACCCCAGTGTTTGAAGGATTTAGTACTCTCATTGTGGTATCGGGAACGGGAGCCTACCAGAACGAATGCATAAGGAGGAATGGCCATGGTAGGAAATGCATTACTTGTCACAGGTAACCTAACTCGAAGCAATCGATATTCCGGCCCATTCAAACCACGGTCATACATAAAACCCAAGATTATCACAAAGCTTTCTGCTAACTAGTTGTCTCCTGCCCATATCATGCCGAATGAAAGCTGCAAGGACACGGTATCAATTGAACTGAAGGCTTTCATCTTGTTCATTCTTCCGTTCCTTGTGTATCCAAAATATCGTGTTCTTTTCCGGATCAGGAGGTCAAGGGGCAACACATCCGTGGAACGATGCTTTGCAGGACTTCAGACCGTCGTGGTCACCACGAGTCCTGAAGTACAAAATGCTGATGCTAGCCTCACGAAATGAGAGCTAAACATTGATTAAACAAAATCATCGTAGTAGCCACACACGACGACCGAAAATGCACCCAGCGGATAAGAAATGGATCAAAGTCATGTTCAAGGTCAAACCAAATGACTCGAGAGTCAAAGCAACGAAGGACCAACTTCTCAAATCTCATTGGTAAACTGCGTGCAAAGCGTCTGGGGAGAAGCCAGAAGTCTTGCTTATCAGGTGGGTTATCCGGATTGTCATATTTGCGAGACCTGTTTCCGCTTGCTCAATCTCGGATACGTTTGTTATTTTCTGACAAGCTGATCGAATACTTCCACCGCCAGGTCTGGACTTCATTTCAGTACAATTGCCAACTACGGACGAAACAACGAGCCGTTGTTCCAAGATGACCTGCCTCATGTGACGGCATCCTGGAAAGTGAAGGAAAACGACAGTCACTTCTATACCGCCCATGGATACACTCGCGGTGCGGAGAACTTCGACGTCAGCGACACTTTTGGGGGACGCAGGAAAATCCCCCTGGATGACGAACCCAGACGGGGCACCTCGTCTTGGGTCGAGGATGAGCAAATTACAGAGTGGTTCACTGAGGAATATTTGGATGAGCTAGTGAGAGGATAAAACTGGAACGGTAAATCGTTATTTGGATATTGGTTTCTCTATGTCATCAAAAGCCACTACCTGGTTGTGAGTAGGGTAAAAGACAGTCTAATTGACCCGGATCTCTCCGATGTTAAATTATATATGGAATACAAAGGCTGGTCTCTTGTCAGACGGGCTGGCATAAACTCATACCGAATCTTACTTTGCAGTGCTTTTTCTCTTGTCAAGAACCAAAACGATCGCGCAGAATATTTCAGTCGAGAATCAAAATGAGCTGCGTGAATGAGGTGCACTCAAAGACCGAAAGTGCGTTGAAACATCTTCGAAAAATAACTCAATTTCAGGAGTGATTCTTCATATTAGAATTTTGGCACGAAATGTGTTGTCTAGAGTGTGCCCATAAGACGCACCCCGCAACGAGAATACCGATTAAACAAATCATGAAATAGCTCACAAGACTTCGCGGGTGAATCTGTTGACGGTGAAATGGCCATAATCATTGATCATACCGAGCAAAGACGGCGCTCATGCCAAACAAACTATACTGCGGGGAAACCCAACACCCCCCGTACCTTCGTCCACCATGCTGTTGCGAACTCTGGCAAGAATACCCCAGACACGGCGGCTTTCCACCTGGTTGAACCGCCGTTTTCGGCGGCAGCTAGCTCCGTTCGATCAATGGAGTCGATCTCCGACATGATATTGCGGCCTTCCCCGCGAGCCTCATACATCGCCTGCAATGCTGGTAGCCCCCATTTCTTCATCCAATCTCCTCGAAGTAGCTCGTCTGCAGTGAGACGATCATCAGGCTCCCAGCATAGAACCCCCTTGACGAGGCTGTACAGGTCCTCAAGTTCCTCAGTCGTCATCTCATCCCGATGGACATCTCCGATCCACCCACGCACTCTCTCCTCCAGTAGGATATGCTCTCTGTATGGATAGGTTCCGTCTTCATCCCACTCTACGTCTCCTCTGAAGAATTCATCTTTGGCCTCCCACAGGTCCCACCATCTCTGGGGTGGTTTGCCAAGGGTGTTGATCATGTCTTCAAGCATGCCATCTGGATCTGGCGAACCCTCAAACAGGTGGTTGCCAAAGATCTCGAATATTCCCACGCCAAGAGACCAGATATCAGACGGGAAGCTAATAGGAACGTTTTCCTTCTCGGCGAAATTCGCTTCAGGGGCGCGATAGTTGTCAGGAGTGTTAAGCTGATATCGCGAACGCAAAGCTGGCCTCCAAGCCTCACCAAAGTCGGTCAGGGTGAGTTTCGCATTTCGAAGCTCCAGGTCTGTGCTTCGGTCGCCAAACCAGATTTCCGGCACGATGTAGGGCGGGACACCGTGGGGGATCGGTTTGCCGTCGCGACGCTCAGTCATGGCTTTGATAGGCTCTCCATACTTATGGTAGAGATCCTCGATTGTCAAATGAGATAGGTCAGGTGGCGCAAGAAGAACGTTGTTCGGCGTAAAGTCTGTTTCAAGTCAGCTGTGGCCTGATCTTGGCGGTCAAGCCCACTTACCTCCATGTACCACGCCATTCGAATGAAGGAAGGACAGCATGATGATTAATTGGGCGGACATTGCCCGCGCCGCTTGTAGTTCGAAGGTTCCAGTGCCATGAGATTCATACCTACTTTGACCAATGCTCATTCGATGAGGCAGACTCACAATGCAGAGATGGCTCCCATTGGGTCCATTATGACTGAAGGAGTCCAGACAAGACATGAGCATCAGCTTTCCAGGATGGTTGGTAGGAATCTGATGGAGTTCACGCAGAAAGTCGATTTCAATGCCGTAGCTGTGTGCTTCAGACTGTGACTGGTGCTCGGGGACCATTATCTTAATTGCAACAAATTGGCCATGTTTCTCATCGCGAGCAAGCCAGACGGTGCTATATCCACCATGACCAAGTTTGTGGACGATGGTGTACCTTCCATTGGAAAATTGATCACCAATTTCGACGGGATGGTAGCTGCCAGGAAAGTAGTGTTGTGGTCGCTCTTCCTCTTCAGTCTCCCAGTGAAACATGTAGTCGTCGACATCAACCACGTCCGTGACCGTGCCTGCGTCTGGTGTAATTGTTTCCATCGTCAGTCCAAGAGATTGTGTGAATGGGTTCGATTCGCTGGTATCAAATGTAGATGGTTTGCTTGGGACATACTTCAATAGTTCAAGTGGGAAATATTTGGACATATGTATTACCCATGCGATGGAACCTTCTGTGGATCTGACCAGACGAGGAAATCAAAGAGGAGGTGTCTTTGTGAACAGAATCAGCGCCCTTGGGTTGGGTCGGACAAAAGAACCTTGGCATACCTTTGTCAATGAGTTGACACACGAAGCCCCTGGCATCTTCCCTTTTGTTTCCATGCTTGAGCCGTGGTGGCCAAGTAATCTACCAAGCACAGATGGCTGTGAAAGCCCAGAAAGGTATCATTTCACGACTGCTTTCAGCCTATGTCTTTGTTAGGTAGCAGAGACTCGCTCCATCGATTGCATTCCCTTCTAGCACTTGAAACTGATTTATCAAAACTCACAAATGACACAAGCCAATGTTGCGGCCTTCCCAGCGTCAGGAGAAAAAGAAAATACAGCATAACCTGGGATAGCACAATGGAGTTGTTCGAGACACTCCCGCTGGTCAAACATCGAGTCTGGTGACGAGGATGCTGATTTGCTTTCATCGGTATATAACGGGCTTCCTCACGTAGATGTCTCAATTTATTCTGGGCCACAAGATACAACAGTTACCAGAAAACAATCAGCAAAAATACCATATCTGTCAGTATCAGCCGCGATGTCCTCTCCATCCTCATCAGACTCGGATTCACCAGACGTTGAAGTTATCTGGAAATGCGAGAGGCCGAGGCGCACAGACAAATACGAGCGAGCTCTCAAAGCACATTGGCTGAATGCTCTGCATGGCCACGGTGGGAAAGCGGACGACGTCAAAACTATTGTCATGCGGTTAGTACTTCCAGCGTTTGCGTTTCTGTTTTTGTTTTCATTAAGCTGCGCGCGGTGGAACTGAATTTTCTAATTGCGCGCCTTCACGGTTCACTAGATCTGGGCTGCACAATACCAAAATGACGAAAACAGGGCCGGTGCCAGACGACTGGCACGTAACAACCTCATGGCCAGATACCGATCGTACGTTCTCCACAGCGCATGGGTACACGAAAGGGAGACAGAACTATGACGTTGTAAGGTCAACAGTAACTGTCAACATACCTCTTGACACCAAAAGAGAAGGCAAGAATCTATGGCCATCTGATTCCAAGTATCCCACGGAGTTCTTGAGCGTGAACTACTTGAACAGTGTTTTAGAGAAGGACTTCTCTCATCTCGAAGACGTGCATCAAGTCTCTAGAAGGCCAGTTACTTACAGGACTGTCAGAGATTGCAGGTAAGTCAATAAAGCCCGTGAGTGCTGACAATACATTAGATTGTGATGAAAGCAAGTACATCGTATTCTGAGGCCGAAGACAATGTTTCCATCATAGGGTAACATGCGACAATTAGGATAAGTCTTATGCTTCAAGCGCACATTGGGTCATGACTTAGAAGGAATCACTTGACCTGAGCTTTGACTTGAGTTTTGCCACGCAACATCATTAGATACCATTAAATACCAAGAGTAACACTGAGTCAATAAGTATGGGAATCTGCATCTTTGGTGTATTGAATCTCAATCAATTCGATATCTTCAATTTTGATTACATTGATGCATTGATGTTCTATCTTTTGAAAGCAGTATTTTGCCTCTCATTTGCTTTGATTCTTAAGACCCCAACAAATAACATTAAGAACCCAACATGGTACGTGGCGGGAATGAACCTTTGCCTGGCTTGATTACTTCAGCCCCGCCAGTTTGCAAAAGCTTTTCTGTTCAATTACAACTGCGTGATGAATGCATTACGTGCAGTTCTAACGGAAGCTCTCATCATATATGTTGGACGTACATTACTTCTATCGTTTCTGCGCAGAACGAAATCGACGCGAAAATAAGCAAAGATACTTGGTGAGTCTTCGTCTTCTTCTACTACTGCTTGAAGACAAATAGTTGTACGCTGACTGAGCTAAGCAGCCCACAAGGCCGTCAGGTTATATTTTGCCCCAAAAGAATGTCCCGAGTTTGTCCCAGCAAGATTTTGAATTTTGTCCCAGCGCAGTCATATTCGAACAAATGCATACAACCAAATACTCACATCGTGATGAATTTCTTCTGCGCTTCACTCACCAATAAGAGAGTCCAAGTACGATTCATGGTACATTCGCCGAGTGTACTTGGGATCGAGCGGTTCGACAGGCCACACTCTGGAGCCGTCTTGGTTTGTCGCTGTAATTGGAGCAGGCAATGGACAGGTCACTGTTGTTCGATGAACGTTGTAGTTCCCCTTGCCTGGTGTATACCCATGAGCGGTGATAAATTCGTTTCCGTTTCTAAAAGAAGTGGTTATATGCCACTCGTCCTTGACATATCCGGACTTTTGGACAGGAAATTTGCATGTCATGAAAGTCATTTTCGTTGAATTGTGAAGATCAGACCTAAAACTTGTTAGCCTGTAGCCTAATTACCATGTTATATGCCGGATTGAGACTAACCTAATTAGCATTGAATCGCATGAATACTGATTGTCAGTGACTGTTTTTCAATGGGCACCCAATAGTGCAATGGCATGAGATTCATCTGGTGGTATACCGATCTTCCAAATGACCTCTACCATTCCCAACTTAGGGTTTTCGGTTGTCATCGCTTGAACTTGGTGTTCAATTGATGGTTCTGCTGCTCAAGAGATTGTATTGGATGTACGCTGTGTTGATGCTTGGTTGTTTTCGAGCCCCATGGCTTCCCATTTAATAGTCCCTTCTGCGCGATGGTCATTACTCACGAGCCGTGTTTACATGTATATCAAACAATGCGATTGTGTTGACCGAGCTATACTTGTCGAGTATTGATAGCGAGCGCATCATGTTCTCGAGCTGAACTTGCGTAAAAGAATCTTCCGGACCAAAAGGCGTGCGATGCCCCAAAAGAATCAAATTCTGAACAACGTGACCCATCAGAATCTTTGCCTAACTCTCTTTGTGTGCTGAATGGCCAATGATTTAATGCATGTATACTTTTGGTTCCTTTCATTAGTCTTTGAATGCCTCTGCTTTTCGGCTGTCTGCCAAGAGAGAACCTTGCTCGCTGCGTGGATTGGCAGCCAGGGCCTGCCCTTGAAACGCTTTTCTTTGTTCCAAAGTTTCCAATTTCCTTGCATTTACTTTGTGTTCTTTCAGTCCTTTCGCTTATGATATGCGTTGGCATCTATGCGGCTTTGAAATAGCAGCTGAACACATAAACTTGAGCTCCCAGGCGCCCCGCGATGCTTAAGTTCAGATCAGCCCTCTTGATGTGAGCAACCAGCTCTTGCATCTTTTGCACCTCTTGTCATTCCACACCACGATCCTCAGTTGCAATGGCCTCCATACATTCTGTGGTGGCTGAGCTTCTACCAGGCCGATATGTCGCAGATGCTCAGCGTATCCCTTCAAACTATGTCTCTTCCGAGAGGGATACGATGGTGTCCCTGTTGGCAGCTCGCGAGCCAAACTCCCAAGAGGATTTAAGGATGATGCAGATCCTTCTATACAACGATGACGAGCCCGATGAAAGCTACTGGTTTTACCAGGAAGGCTTCCTCCATCCAGTTCAACTGGGAGATCAGCTTTCTCATGGCAGGTACACCATCATCAATAAACTAGGGAACGGATCATTCTCGACCGTATGGCTTGCGCACGACGAAACCCTGGGTCGAAAGGTTGCTATTAAGATCGCGTGTGCAGAGACCGAACGCGAACCCGATGACTTTCCTTCCGACGAGCAGGCGATCCTTCAACGACTGCAAGGCGACCCTTCGCCACACCCTGGCGCAGAAGTCATTCACCCCTGCCTGGACACTTTCACGATGCAAGGTCCGAACGGACGTCATCGCTGTTTTGTCAGTGAGCCAACTTGTATCAATCTCGCTCAAAGCAAATTCAGGAGCCATCCAAACTGGTTATTCCGTCTTGAAGTTGCTCGAGCTTTGACTGCACAGCTCATACGGGGCGTTGCATATATGCACTCCCAAGGAGTTGCTCACGGAGGCAAGTCCCATATCAATCATCGATTGTCATTCCCTGAAAGGAAGCAAGGCTAACACTTCGTTCAGACTTACACAGCGGAAATCTGCTGCTAGCGTTACCAGGTGCAGAGCTATCGGAGCGCAGTGTTCGAGACCTCTACGCTAGCTTCGGCTTGCCGCAACAATATCCAGTAGACATTTGCAAGAAGGTCAGCGACTTCGACGAACCAATCCCTGAAAATGCTCCACCTTACGTTGTTGGCAAGATGTACTTCAACGACAAACATGCCCATAAATTGCGTCTTTCTGATGCAAAGCTTCGGATTAGCGACTTCGGTGAATCATGGAGACCCGCTGAGCATGATAGGTACGAACTCAATATACCAGAGCAATCTCGCGCTCCTGAGGCATTGGTTGCGGAGAAGCTTCGCAAACCTATTGGGTTTCCTGCTGATGTGTGGGCTTTGGGCTGCGTTACCGTGGAGCTATATGCGCGTTACAGCGTCTTCCAAACCTATTTTCCTGGATTCGAAGAGGTCTGGGCCGAGATGGTCCATGTTCTTGGCAAGCCCCCACAGACATGGTTGGATGCGTCGAAGGCGGACATCGACTCCGGTAACAACGACAACGGCTCGAACCCCGACAACGAGACGCCTCGACACAGAGACCCTACCACTCTTTCGGACCACATTATGCAGCTCATAGACAAGGATAGATCCGAGAAGCTGGTTGGAATTTGGGAAGACGGGGATGAAGATGAGAAAGTCCCCCCTGGAGAGTTGCGAGATCTGCTGTTGATGCTGGAGCAAATTTTCTGCTGGCTTCCAGAAGACAGAATTAAAGCAGAAGATCTTATGAAAGGAGATTGGATGAAGAATTGGGGGCTCACAGCGATTGAGGCGATGGAAAAAGCCTACGAAGAAAAGTCGCAAGTCACGAAGCAGACTTCCGCCAGTTCCGGCTCCGGTTCAGAAAGCAACACCATACACCATGGCAAGACGGATCGCCCAGTAACTGAGACAAGGCATGGAGCCATTCGTGGACTGTTCAAGACAGCTAGATGGGGGCTGGGAACGGGCGTTTGGTCGTGGCTTGAGCGAGCGCTTGGGATTTGATTTGGCTCGGCCGAAGGACGTACCGAAAAGGGAAGTCGGTGATAGTCGTTTGATTTTATGCATTTTCGAGCAGCCTCTATTCTCCATGTCAACCAATGCACGGGATTCCAATCGCAACATGTATTGTATTGTGTTTCTAGCGTTAGCCAACTCGCACTGTTCAACTAGGAGCTTTGCTGCTGAAATCTCCGAAAATCTGCAATCTTGATTCATCGCCATGTTTATTACCGTATTCGCCGCTGTACAACGACGAAGACGGAATGTTGGTTCGTTTCTTGTGGATGTCATCATGACTCAGCAAGTCAGGTGATAAGAGCACATGTTGGCAGGGACACACCGTCGAATAATCACTCATCGACAGTATACGAAGAGCGGATCAACACAACAAAGCTGTGTTCGTCAGTTTCCACCACCACTCCTAGTGCAATGGAACATCCTACTTCATTTCTATGTTCAACCTGCAAACAAGTTATCCAAGCTGAAGACGGATTGCGATCTAAACACATTCTTTTTGATGACGTCGAAAAGCTATGGGTCGTTACCCCTGAACGCCAAAGCTTCGAGAGCTTCAGGAGGGCGGCTTCAAACAACTGCTTCATTTGCTCCATTTTATGGAATCACGACCATCTCTTAGTTGCACCAGAAGTATGGGCGACCGTCTGGAAGCCAATCAAATTCCAAATCCTCCAGCACAAGAATAGGATGCGTGTTGACGTTGCTCAAACCGTGGATCAGACAGTTGTTGTGGCGTTTCGACATCCAAACTTCTGGTCTGGCACTGTTGACGTGCATATCATGATTCATTTGAATCGCCTTCAAGGTAGATTGCATGCTGATTCCAAGCGTACAGCTGTTGAGACTTCCACACAGATAGCCCTTTACCAGAGTTTCCGATGATCTTGGCAGGCAGCACTGCCTCCCCTTCATCTCTGAACCAGGCTCTCAATTGGTTTCAGAAATGCAAAAAGAATCACGGAAAATGTCGAAGCCCCCCAACTGCACGACCAGGATGGCTACCGACTCGCCTGATCGACATTGGCATTCCAGGCGAGCCTGACTGGAAGCTTCGAATAACGAAAGACTTGGAAAAGACAACCCCGTTGGAATATATGACTCTGAGTTACCGCTGGGCACCCAACCCTGAGCATTTACTGCTATCTGAAAATATTAACGACCTTCAAGCTGGCTGGCCGGTGAAAACATTACCTCAGACCTTCCAGGATTTCATACTTGTCGTCCGTCAGTTTGGGGTCCGATACGTATGGATCGACCGTCTGTGCATCATCCAAGATGACGATGAGGATTGGAAAGCGGAGGCACCGATGATGGCTAGTGTCTACAGCAACTCGATGTGCAATATTTGTGCATCTGCTTCAGACGGTCCAGACGGAGGGCTTTTTCGATATCGTGCAGCCAAAGGCATCGCGCCGGGTATTGTGGACACAACTTTGACCATCGCGCCAACAACCTGCCCAGTGCGGTGTTACATATACCGACGGAGGTACTGGGATGATCACTTGCCGGAATCTCCGTTGCATTGCCGCGGTTGGGTTTATCAAGAGCGATTTTTCGCATCGCGGATCGTCTACTTCTCGTCTCAACAAATCATGTGGGAGTGTCTCCAAGAGAGCGGATGTGAAGGTTTTCCGAGAGGAGATGTCAACCCTTACCCAGCCGACCATATGAAGGGATTCAAGACGCTGGGAAGCTTGGCTGATCTCGTATCAGGCCCAACAGGGTTCATGACGACCGAATTGCTCAACGCCTGGGAGGTTTCCGTTGAGTCTTACTCGCGTTGTCAGCTTACGAGACCTGAAGACAAGCTTTACGCATTCTCGGGACTTTCAAAGCTCTTCCAGCAGGCCACTGGAGATAGGTTTCTGGCGGGCATGTGGCAATCAGTTATTGTGAACCAGTTGTGCTGGTACACGCACGGAAACCTACCCAGCCCGTCAGAATATCGAGCGCCCTCCTGGTCATGGGCTTCCGTCGATGGACCGGTCTTCTCGCGTTCTGGCGACAGCCTTCTAGGCGGAGAAAAGATGGTCAAAGTGATTGACTTGGATGTCACCACGGAGGGCCCAGACTCAACAGTTGAAGTTAAGAGTGGATTCCTTCGCCTGAAAGGCACTATGTTCATCACGTATTGCTGGACAGACTACGGCGATCATGGAGGGGAAGTGGCAGTGGGTGAATATCTTGGGCGTCGCGGTGATAAAAGCAGAAACATGATGCTCTTTCCGGACACCACTGATAGGGTACTACAAAAAGTAGGGAGGATGATACTGCTGCCAGTTATGCGGTTTCCTACCGGAGTCGAAAACTCGGCACCGGCTCATTTGCCGCGCCACCATGTCGGGTGCTTGGTATTGAGCTCATGGAAGCACCCTACAATGGGAGATATTTACCAGAGATCTGGGTATGTCTTTACCAAAAATGTTTTCTGGAATGCAGGACCGGCTGTGACAGATGGAGTGTTATTTGATAGCATTGTAGAAAATGCCGAAGTAACTATCATTTAAGCCCTCAAATCATTCCTTGATTGAACTATTTCAGCGCCCTTTCTCAATTCTGTGGAGAATGGATGCATCGCTTAGAAGACTGACATTGGTTGATGAGTTCTGCTTGAAATAGATGTGAGGTTGGGAGATGCTCTGTCGAAGATAAAAACAAAACCCGCCTGCGAGTATAGCAACAGGGCTTCATGGCATCGTGAATGGCTTCTCAGGAAACCCATTTCTTCCGGCTTGCGAAACGTGTGTCAATGTGGCTGGGAGCTTGAAGGCTATGAGCGCTGGATAAGAAAGAAATCAATTGTTCCACGAAACAGAAGTAAGCGCAAGCTTGGAGAAGAATCTTGAATTGCCGCTTGATTGGTCGCCATACGAGGGCCGGAATGCGAGACTAAGGCCAGGCCGACTGAGCAGTTGTTTTCGATTTGTTTGCTCAAGAATCGCGACGCACGACATTCAGAGCCGAGGTCAGGCGCCAACCATTCACACAAGCTACAAAAGGGCATCGCCAGGCGTGGCTGGACTTGGCGTTCGCGGGGTAGAAAGCGAGCTGTCAAGGCCTGACAGTCAAGCTGCCGCTCAAGCGAGATGGTTGTTTGTGGCCTCCTTGAGTAAGAAAACCAGACGAACCATCAGTGGTTTGAGTCACTGTGGTCCCTTAATGGTCTAGGCCAAAAACGGATGGTCTCCGGGCATCCGGCGGCCGCATTCGAGCTTAAGTCCGGTCTGTCTCACACCTGCATCCTATCAATCCCACCGGACCGAACCCTAGGTGAGGATTTTTTTTCTGCTCAGAAGACGAGGGCGGCGGCGGCGTCCGTCCGACGCAGCATGCAGTCAGCTAAGAGCCAACCACGCGAAAAGGAATTTGTGGTAGGGATTACTCACAGAGTCACAGTTCCTGCATCGGCGGACGGAGTGGAGTACAGCCAAGTCCGACCCGGGGCCGGGGTGGAGTTGTGAATAGGGAAGAATGGGGCCCTTTTAAGATTTGCAGATCCAACACCGAGTCTGGACTGTTTCTTGCTGCCTGAACATCTTGTGCAAGTTATGCAGAGTTGCCATGTCTCTTGAGCAGCATGCAATGCACGGGATACGAGCACAAGTCATTGACTGAATCCAATGCCCTGCATGACATTAATCAGCTACAAGCAATAGCCCGAGCTTAGTGCTGCATTATCAACTCCCGCCACGGTCAGAAAACGCGGGGTTCGGCTCGGGAGGCTTGGGGGGATGATCACTTCTCTTTAGGACATCCATCCATGTCCCTCCTTACCGCTGCCGGGCTAGACACCAAACACGCTCCACGTCCAACGTGGTGTTGGTTCGTACTTTTTGGAGTCGTGTGGAGACGCGAGGATCACCGGCCTTGTCCTCCAGGGAACCTTTTCACCCCGAGGTCGGCGGCGCGACTCACAGTCATTTGCGACGGTCAAAAAAGTAGGTGACGAAATAAAAGCTGGCTGCGACCCTGGCAGGATCGTCGTCAGTCTTGTTTGCGCCGCACCCTTTTGCTCCTTCACCTGTCTCTTGCCAGTCATCCGCGCGTTCTGTGTGTCGCGCGCGCCTCTACTGGTTGCAGAGAGTTCAATTGAGTCCAGCTTCTCAGAGTCGACGACCCCGAAGATGCAGTACGACAAGGAGAACAAGCCGGCCGAGTCGCCGTCGCGCTCCCTCGAGCATGCGACAGATCTTGACCGGCCCGGCTATGGCGACGAGCACGTCGAGTGTCCCCCTCACACGACGGAGAGCAAGCTCGTCAGCAAGATTGTGAGTTCTTCCTGTCGAAACACTACCATGTACATGCTGACCTGGTCAGGACATGAGGGTCATTCCCTTCCTCTGCGTCATGTACCTGCTAGCTTTCCTCGGTAAGAAGCTCACTTTCCCCGCCCGCGCGTCCAGCCACGATCGCAACTCAAATGCTAATGGCCATTTGCTTTCGTAGACCGAGTGAACATCGCCAATGCGAACGTCTTCGGCCTCAGCACGGAACTGAACCTGAATGGCACCCTCTACAACAATGCGCTTGTCGTCTTCTTCGTGCCCTACATCCTCCTGGAGATCCCCTCCAACATCCTCCTGAAGAAGTTTAAGCCACACGTTTGGCTGAGCATCAACATGTTTGGATTTGGTCTCGTCACCATGCTTCAAGGCTTCGTCACGAACTACGCCGGACTTTGCACCACGCGATTCTTTTTGGGAGTCTTCGAGACGGGCATGTTCCCGGGCGCTTTCTACCTCATCGGCATGTGGTACCGGCGCCACGAGGCGCAGAGGAGATACTCGTTCTTCTTCAACAGCACGACTCTCGCAGGAGCCTTCGGCGGTCTCCTCGCTGCAGCGATTGGAAAGATGAGTGGCATCCGCGGCTACGCTGGATGGCGCTGGATCTTCATCCTGGAAGGCCTCTTGACCGTTATTGTCAGCTTCTTCTTCTACTTCTGGCTTCCCGACTTCCCCGAGGAGGTCAAGTGGCTCACCGACGACGAAAAGGCTTTTGTCTCGGCCCGCCTCCGCGCCGATCAGGGGCGTTCCGCCGTGGAGCGCAGCACAACCCTCAAGGATGTCGGCAACATCTTTAAAGATTACAAGGTCATTGTCGGAGGCTTCATGTACTTCGGCCTGATTGTGCCCGCTTATGGCTACGCCTACTTCGCGCCTGGCATCATTCAGACGTACGGCTACGACAGCATCCAGACCCAGCTGCACAGTGTCCCTCCATGGGCTGTGGCGTTCGTTTTCTCGATGATTATCGCCTTCATCTCTGACAAGACGCGCCACCGATTCCTATTCGCCATCTTCGCTATCTGCGTTGCCATGGCTGGTTTTGCGATCTTGATCTCCGTGCACAACAACACCTCCGTACAATATGCATCGCTATTCCTCGTGGCGATGGGTTCTTACACAGCCATGCCCATCATCGTGTGTTGGTTCAACATGAACTTGGGAGGCCACCACCGTCGCTCGATTGGCAGTGCTTGGCAGGTTGGCTTCGGTAACATTGGTGGAATCATTGCCGTATTTGCCTTCCTGAAGAAGGACGCACCCAAGTACATCCCCGGGTACAGCATCTGCATTGCCTTCGTCATTTTGAGCGGTCTTGCGTGTCTCATCTACGCGATCGCATGCTGGTCTGCAAACAAGAGCAGGGATCGGGCTGCTGGACAATCTACGTTGTCAGAGGAGGAGAAGACTGAGTTGGGAGATCTGTCTCCTGATTATAGATACCTGCTGTAGATGATATTCCAGAGTCTTGAGCGGTTGTTGGCTTGTGGCAGGACGAGCCGTGCTGATTACTCGAAAAGTAGAACACAGCACTTAGCCAGTGCTTTAATGAAGAATGCGCATTCAATTTTGATGCATTGCTCAGTTAGTAGACTGTTGCGAAAGCCATTAATAAGTGCCCCAAAACGTAGGCGCATGAGACGCGGCCCTTGACCCATCTGTATCTCCGGAAATGGCTCCATCTCCATGGCGTCCTCGGCCTTAAATGTGGGCACCTATGTCCACAGCCTCCGGACTTAACCAGCACCTGAGGCCAACCCGGTCTGAAAACAAGGGAAAACAGCAGAACCGGATCCAGAATTCGTCCAATGTCCGGAGGGCCAAGTAACGTCGACTGATTAAAGTTTCGGTCCGCATTCGTTATTCGCCAGAAATTGGGCGACTTGGAAGCTTGATCTGGATAGTTCCTGCCGCGCGCACGCTACCCCTGTGATTCCCCGGAGCCACCCGCAAGCCATAGCAGAGAAGACAAGAATCCAAGATCTCGAAATTGACTTGGCCTCAGGAACCCTTGCAATTGTCAATATTCAGCGTGCCATATTCATCAACACAGCCTTTAAACATAGTTACAATCTTCTGGAAATCAGGTGTCGCTGGAATACCTAAGCTACGGTCGCCTTCTTGGCATTCGAGACGGATTAGAAATCCGTCTTCAACTTACTCCTAACCAAGAACTCAGGGGCTAGGTGGTCTATATCATGTATTTAAGCTCGTCAGGTTATCAGATATTGGACGAACCATTGCCTCATCCCTCATGCCTCTTGTCCTCGAGACTGCCAAGATGTTTGTTTCTCAACTCAGTCTGACTGTCTTGCTCTTTTCCGGCTTTGCCTTTGGTCATCGACTGCACCACCGCCAAAATGACAGCGTCGAAGATCCTGCCGCACTTCTTGCTCGAGGGATTGAAGCCCTTGGTGGCCAGGATGTCATTGATTCCATAAGCAGCTTGTCGTACTATGGCGAAACGTAAGCTGGGTGCGTGCTTTCAGTGATGGCTGGCCATTCGTTGACCAAGCATAGAATTCTTCGAGCCAGAACCCTGATGCTGGGAATTTCTCTCACTGGCGTGGATAATGCAGCTGTCACTGCTGGCCGACAAAACGTGACATTTGCCTTTGATGGGAACAACGTCAAGCAACGCATCGACAAGGTTGCCTCTCTTGGCCGTACGTAGAGGCTCAAACCTAGCCCCCCGTTGACTTCTGCTAAGTTCCAATAGCTGGATGGACCTTTGGAAGAGCCAACCTGAGTCCGATGGACTTCTCTTTGGTCGTTGATAGCAGTGAGGCCGGTTTTGCTGCTGTCGTTAGGGGAAGCTATGACCTCTACAATCCTACTGGAGATCCCCAGGGATATCTCGACGGTATGAACATCCTCACTCTTCTTCTCTTGCCGTTTTCATCCCTTGGCAAAACTAACAATTAAGCTTTGCATCAGGTCTACTTGCGTCGTACCTGATCAACGAGGCGTACAAGTGGCACCCATTGTTGCTCTCAACGGTATGGCAAGTTTGAGACACCCACTAGCACTCACTAATATCAGCAGATTCTATCCAACAACAACTTCACCTATCGCTCAGGCGCCACAGAAGCCGGTGTAGAACTTAGCGGTGGTGAGTCCTGCCAATCATCCTCGACGTTGCTGTCCGGGCCATCTAGCTGACATCGTGAAGTTCACGATGATTTACTTAACCTAACGGTTCTCTTCGAGCCCAATACCAGTTTGCCATACATCATTCGTTCTTACGAAGATCACCCATTTTTCGGTGCCTCAACGCACGATCTCCTTGTCTACGACTACGTTGAAATTGACGGCGTCCAGGCCCCGCAGCGGTTCAAAACGATCTACAACGGAAAGCACCTCATTGCGGATTATCGTGCTGATCAGGTTCTGGTTAATCCTGCCATTTCTGAAAACTTATTCACGTTACCAGGGAACGCGACGATCCCTCAGGCTAGCGTGCCCGTGCGGGACGCACAATATGACTTTTCTGAGATTGGCGAGACATCCGCTAACTTCCTTTGGCCGGGAGCATACACAGGAACTCCTGAGATCATCGAGTCGGCAGCCTCCAGGCCTTTTGATGATCTGCCCGGGTTATGGGTGATCAGTCCCGAGGGGGCCTTGGCCATGCGACAAGCCGTAGTGGAGCTTGAAGACGGATCTGTCATCGTGCTGGATGCTCCTCCTCACCAAAGCAAGCTCATCATTGAATGGGCTCAAGCTCGCCTCGGGAAAAACATCACTCACGTTTGGGTTCGTATTCCTGGACAAGCCAAGATTCTCTGCTCGATACTGACGTTCTCCAGCCCACCCATCATCATCATGATCACGCCTTTGGTGTTGTGGACTACGTCGCCAGTGGCGCAAAGCTCATCGTACCTGACCATGCAGCCAGCTACTACACCACTGTGCCCCAAGACCAAATCGTAACCTACAGGTATGCAACTTCCATTTGAGCGAGGAAGACTGGGCTAACCCATGCAAAAGCCGAAGCGGCTCTCTCGTTCTGAAGGACAGCCAAATACAGTTGACTCTCGTCGATATGGATGCGACCGTACATGCTGAAGATCACGGCTACGCTCTCGTCTTTCCGGCGTGTCCTACCAGCGACAGTACTACGGCTGTCTTTGACGCAGACCATGGAAACTTGGCCTTCCTGGAGACTTTTGATCATGCAGCAGTACACGAGCTGTTGTCATCTCTGGCTAGCGATGGCGTCGCCACGAATGCTCAGTAAGTACCGCATCACAGTTTCAACCACGTACACTCTCAAGAGAAAACTGACATTTGTAATGCAGTTTTCTCCCATCTCATGGTCCTGCCGGCAATATCACCGACATGATTCAGGTTGCAGGGTTTATATATCCATCGCTGTCACCGTCAGATTTTGTGCATAGTGAAGCAGCCTGCTAAGCGACGCACAACACCTGCCGTCTTCCGATATGGGAACAAACATGCAATGCCCTGTCAGTGCTCTGAGCGTGCGACACCATGGGAGTCCGAGAAGTGGATGAGTAGGCTTGGGAAACATTGATACTGCCGTCGCCAGACTAATTTAGTGATACTCTTTGCTCGTTGGTCATAGGTCAATTCTGTAAATAGTCCGGCATGCGGTTTGAAAGACATGTGCACACATGCTTCCGTAAACACAAATGTGAAATTTGTACCGGTCGACTTTCAAATCGCGTCTACTAGATTTACCTGGAAGTCTCCAGAACAAAATCAAAATAAAAGCCCGAAAGCGATAAACTGAGTTTCAGCGAAATGAGACTCACGTAGAATCTAGGTTTGGTACTAGGCGACTTGGGAAAGTCTCTACGCCGCCTGCTTAGTGTAGAGCTCACGAACATCGCGTTCAAACCAGAGCGCTGTTCGAGACGCAGGATTGAGGTTGAAGATCAAGAAAACCCCTCAAGTTATGAGTCACCAGCCAAACGAATATCTGAAGAAATATTTTCGTGGGCCAGCAATAACTTTCATCCGTTCTTGGTACGTCATCCATTTATGCCCAATGCTGACTTGCGATCTTATCACGAGTTTACCCCACCATTCACTCACTCGCTACCACAACGCTCTGTCCTGATCAAAACCAACTCAACCTTAAAGCCCATCATGACTCAGTCTCCCGACTACAAAATTCTTAAGCGATGCGTCGAACTTGCTAAGGAAGCACTGGATGCCGGCGACGATCCATTCGGCTCCGTCCTCGTAGGTGCTGACGGAACCATCATCCGCGAAGACCGCAACCGCACACAGACCGGCGAGAACGGTGACGGCACGCCGGATGCAACCCTTCATCCCGAGTTTACCTTGGCGCGATGGGCGCAACTCAACCTCAGCGCTGAGGAGAGAGCCAAGGCGTCTGTCTACACATCTGGGGAGCACTGCCCCATGTGTGCTGCGGCACATGCCTGGGTGGGCTTAGGGCCGATTGTCTATGTGTCGTCAACAGAACAATATGCATCATGGCTGGAAGAATTTGGGCTGGCAGCTGGCAAGAAGGTGGCGGCACTTCCTATCAGCCAGGTCGCTCCCAACACCCCTGTTCAAGGGCCGATCCCAGGGCTTGCGGAAGAGGTGAAGGCCCTCCACCAAAAGAAGCATGCCAAGTAAGAGTCCTGAGACTGAAGCATGTCACTTATGTCGATTGGATGAATTTTTGAAGGCGAGTTTGGTTAGGAACCTGGATCTGTGTCAAGAGCCGAAGCGGAGGATGTGAAAAAAGGAATGGAGTGGGAGACTATGCCTTGCTATCAGCATAGTCTTGGATCAAGGTATTTACTGGAATCAATTTAATTCCAACGGAGTCCCTTATGCAGGCCAGATATCACATGTGCGAATGAGTGGGACGGAGACTAGGTGAACTCTCAGTCTGCGGGGTTGAAGAAATTCTTTGCCCATAGATGCAATTCTTTGCGATGGTTTAAGCATGCCAGAAGCAACAGCAGCTAGGATGTAAATGAGCTCATAAGATATCCAACCTTTGACCTAAACAAACACTCTGGTCCTTGTCCTTGGAGAAGTGTGCAACTTTCCCCATCCTCTCTCAATAGGCAGCCTTTTTGTCATCTCGCAGATAGATACGCTGAACGCTTTGCATGCGAATGCTGCGAGCTTCCGCGATAGTTCCATGCTTCCGACCTCCGAATCGACTCAGTGACTTCTCTCGCTTTTCAAAGTCATACACCGCCTGATCCAGCATCTTGTCTTCAATGACAGCGTACTCATCACATTGCTCAATGAAGCCCTCGGGGTCCGACGTGGGATTCTCAGTTGGAATATCGACCATGGCGTTGTCGGCTTCGCTCTCTTCGAAGTCCGCATCATATTCGGCGGACGCATCATACGCGGGATCAACGATTTGATCCTTTGATGCAGGAGTCTCGGTGTTTTGCGTAGCGTTCTCCTTGGTGTCCTCGCACGATTTGGGCTTGACGAGAAATTTCTTGGTGCGCTTGGGGACGACGAGTGTCCAGGCGCCGGCGTCGGGGCTCTTGGGTTCGTCCATTGTGGCTTTTGAAGAAGTCTGAGTTGAAAATACTGATGTGAGGATGAAGATGGTTGGCCGAGCTGATTGTTATTGGGCATATCGCTGCTCAACCATGGGACATGATGAGCGACGGTTGTGACATTTATGTCTTTGGCTGGCATAACTATGACTGTCGCGAGCATTGTTTGCATGGTGTGTTGTCGAAATATCTGGAGACTTCCCTGGAAGCGACTGCTTGAGTTGTTCGACAAAGAAAACACAACAATGGGCTGTCCGATGATTACATACCAGCTGTGAACAAGAGCGACAATGGGGGCCACTGGTGGACGTCAGGTTGCTTTGGGGTTCAGCAAGGGAACGGTCACAATGGCTGTTTCCATTCATGGATGGCTTTGACTGATCGTGCTACTGTTCAAAATTCCCATCCCTAACAAAAATTGAAGTTTGAATTCCTTGAACCTAACCAAAGCCATGTGGCCTTGGCTAGCCTTTGTGATCCTGCCTTGGTGCTTGGTGGCTGTGATCGGCAGGAGCTTTTATTGGACTGCTTTGAACGCTGTTGACAAGGAAGTGTCTCATACAAACCTCCCTGCGCTTTTTGGCCACCAATCACAGGACGAACCCTGAAATCAGAGAGTTCTGCTTTTGACATATTCTATGCTTTCACTGTTTTGTGTTGGTACGCCCACTTGTAAGGTTGATGCCAAACTAATGTTGAAGCCATGACATGATTTCTTGCGATATGAGACATGTGCCATTTGAAACTTGGAGTATGATTGAGATATTGATTTATTTGCCTAACTTTTGTATCGAACCAATCCGCAAACATAAAACAATAGTCTGAAAAGCGCGGGAGTTTATAACAACATTTAGTTGAGCAACAGGCTTTTGACCCTATCTCCTCGGCATTTTCTCTTCTGCATTTCCCTCTGAGGAAGTTTGAAACCTGCATCCTGAAAGCTTCTTTTCAAAGGCCTGTTACCTCTGTTGTCTTCGTAGTCGCCGTCGTCATCGGTACTTTCATCGTTGTCCGAAAGGCTGCCATCAGATTCCTCATAGTCTTCGTCCCCAGAATCATCGCTGTAGTACTCTTCGTTGTTCTGACTTTCCAATGGCTTCACCCTCTTCCAAGGTGCTTCCGTTACCAAACACTGTTGACATTTGAAATCGGCATCGTTCTCTCGGAAGTAGACCCTGCCGCAAGCCTTACGCTTGCACGTTTGTGCCTGGTTGCAGGAAACAAGTTTGCGATCAAAGAACTGGCCGCACGCCTGGCACTGGTTGTCTTTCCAAATAAAATGACACATATTGGTGTCGAAAAAGGTTGTTGTTTGTTCAATTCGTTTTCTGCTCGATGATAGACACACTTTGCGCAATGAGACGGAATGAGAAACTAGAAATGGGATATGGCTTGACAGCCCATCTGGGCTCCTCGCGACATTTCTAGTCATCTTGTTCACTCTTGGTCCTGAGACTATGAAGACGCTTCGAGATGTATTCAGAACTACTCGCTTTGACGCCTTGGCAATCGCTGAATCACAACAAAGCAGTTGCATCAGGCCCTTTCACCAAGACAGCCAACATGTTGAACGGATTATAAGCCTCAATTCACTTAAGCTCTTTGAGGCTGGCCTCAGGATATAAAGGATCATTGTTCCTATTGTTGGCTTCCTTCGATCGACCTCCATTTCAAAAGATTTCGAAACCACACTTCCCTGCGCAAGATCGCCAAAGAACCAGTCAGGATCTCTATCTGGCAATTTCTATTTGCATCTTGAAACATCCGCAAAGTCACTCCTCGAAGATGTGTTATTTTGTTATCCACTCGGTCGACTGCACCAGCTGCGGCACCAGCTACACGACGCGCAGTGAGCGTCGAACAAGTAACCACAGCCCTGGAACATGCTGCCCGCGCCACCCCTGTGGTCAGATTTTGAGTAAAGCTGTGCCAGGCGAAGTAATGAAACTCGGGCTTTGCCCCAGATGCCGTCAGTACGAAGGCAGAAGAGGAAGGCGGAATCTCGGCTGAACTTCTAAATCATAGGATTCAATAGCTCACTCCAATCACATTGGTCGATCGCGTTAGATATTTATACAAGCAATCAATGAGTAAATCGTCTGGCCATAGCATGCAATTGATGTCGGCGTCTCTTTGAGTATTACGAAACGCTAAAAAGAATAATGCATCAACCTGGCCTGCTAAAGTTGGCAGGCGATAATGCCATTACACAGCCAGTCTTTTCGATCGCAGGTTCCGACAGTAATTAACATTACCTCAAAGACAATGACACCCTTCCTTGTCGAGGCCAGTCTTATCCCATTGTTATTCGTTGCTGTCCAATCGCAGTAAGCCTAGGATTATTTGATGAACTCTCGCTCCCGGATCGGCAGGAGCTTATGCGCCACCGTAAGCTTCATGCATGCCTCCGACATACAGCACAAATTTTACTGGCACGATCGGCTGATCATTCACTGCTCAAGCCCCGTTTCGTATCCCCGCTTCTTGCAGTATCAACATTTACCTCCTTTCACTATTTACGAGAGCAAATCACCAGCAATACACTTCGTTATAAACAAGATGGTTCTTATCAAGGTGGTCGAGGGATCAGTTCCTTTTCGTCATCCCTCATTTCCCGAGGACTCGAACCCTCAAACTGCCTATCGTATCTTCGGCGACCTGTCTGCTGGCAGGCCGCTTGTCGCACTTCACGGCGGTCCCGGGATTCCACATGTTTACCTGGCCCCTCTATTCACGTATTACCACAAACAAACCAAGACTCCCGTGATTCTATATGACCAAATCGGCTGCGGCAAATCGACGCATTACCCGGAAAAGCAGGGCGACGAATCCTTCTGGACTGTATCGCTCTTTGTCTCCGAGCTCGAGAATTTGCTGGCTCGCCTCGGCGTCGACAAATTTGACCTCTACGGTCACTCATGGGGCGGCATGCTTGCGGCTGTCATCGCGACGAAATCGGCATCACCAGTCCTGGCGCCGAGGATTGAGAAGCTGATATTGGCCAGCAGCCCCGCGAGTATGAAGCTGTGGGAAACGGCACAGCGAAATTGGCTAAAGGAGATGCCTAAAAGTGTCCGCCAGGCAATCGAGAAGGCGGAAAAGGATGGCGACTACGAATCGGAAGAGTATCAGACAGCCGTGATGGAATACTACAAGGTTCATATGTGTCGCATTTGGCCATTCCCAAAGGCCTTGGCGGATGCTTTCGATGAGTTGGAGAAGGACCCAACGGTCTATTCTACCATGAATGGACCAAGTGAGATTACTATCGTCGGGAACCTGAAGAGTGAGTCCTGCTTCTCCGTGCAGCCTCCTATAAGATGAGCTAACAGCTTGCATTAGGTTACGATTGGAGTGAGAAGTGCAGAGAGATCAAAGTTCCTACTCTGGTTATCCATGGCGAGTTTGACGAGGCGTCTTATTTAGTGGTTGAGCCTTTGGTCAAGAACATTCGCAATTCTAAATGGATTACTATCAGCAATGGGGCTCATATTGTTCACTTAGAGCAACTTGAGAAGTACTCATGGTTTCTGGAGAAGTTCCTACATGGCTAAGCAGGCGGTCTGTGTCGAAACGATGATGCCACTTGAGTGCAGGCGGAGAATAGCGAGAGGGACAATGTAGCAAGTATGCAAAGAAAGCATGGAAGGTTAGCCAGGATATCAAACAAGAGTAACAATGATATCAATTGGCAAAGTCCTGCTGTAAGACATATTCTTGGTTTCCACAATTATGCGTATTTTTCCGATTCATCACCTCTTTTCCGGCTCATCATCTCAACTCGCGAGCCGGCCTTTTCTTTTCTGATGCTACCCATTTGCCCCTTTTCTTTCATCATGTCTCATGAATCCAACAAACCTCCTAACAAATATTCATCTTGGGATCCCATCAAATCAGTCAGATTCTTCGTCAGAAAGCATGCGTGGGGCCCTCTCTCCCCTCTCATTCGGCCGCAGCATCCGCGGGCTTCTGCTGCGGCCTGGCTCGTGAAATAGTACACCCACATCCCTCATTATCTCCTCGACTATGGTGGTGCCAACGTCCTTGTAAGCGGTCTTCCTGCCTGATTCGAGGAAATATTCAAGTTCGTTCTTCAGTCTCCATGGCGCGGTTTCCGTCCGGTAGACCCACTCTTGAAATTCCTTCCTCTCCTGCCTCATGAAGGATTCCCACGGCTCGATACGCTTGTATATCTTGGATGTCAAGGGAAGGTAAGGACTCCATGCACGACGGCGGAACTCAAGATACCCCAAGGAATGCAGAAAGGCGAGGGACAGCGTCGTGTCTTCGGACTCAGGATCCGCCTGAAATAGCTCCTTCTGGGCGGGTTCCGCGACGCGGGGGGCTTTGTTGGTGACAAAGTCTTGCTCAAGGACTCTGAGCACACCGATGAACTCCTCCGAATTGATATCCACAATGCGCCTCTCCATGACCAATGGGACTTCAATCGGTTCATGCATCCCTTTGTAGTCGGTGAAGCAGCACCGTCCAGTAGTCCATACACAAAACCGGCAGAAGTAGAGCGTCTCCTCCTCGGCATCTTTGCCGCACTCATCGCAATAGTACTCGCAGAACACCGCTTCCTCGACACGGTTGTCCTTCTCCCTCACCCAAGGATCCACGACGTACGCCTGTATCAGTCTTACAGCTTCATCGTCGTAACAAGTTCGGAGGAGGAGTAGCCGCGATAGCATTCTGATGATGTAAAAGTGGTCGTCAATCGTCCTATGCTGGGCTGTGACTAATTGCGCGACATACTGTGCGATGAATTCGTCGGCGTTGGCGACAGCCTGGTCAGTCAGCGTTTTGTGGTGCCCTCCCAGTGCGGTATCAAGTGGTTTCTGGCCCCCGAAATCTTCAGCACGCAGCATCCTTTCCCAATGATCCATGCCGGTCTCCCTTCTCAGCCTCTCACACGTATTATGGATCATAGTCATCATTACCGGTACCTCCGTTTGCGGGTCGTCCGTATGCAGTACCGTCTCCCCATAAACATCGGCGTTGGCAATGAAGTCAGCGACCTTGGGATGCTGGAGCAAGGCATCGAGGATCCCAGGTTCACGGTTGTCCACGGCAACTTGCGCGGCACTCCTCCAAGAATTGTCTGATGGTTCTTTTCCCGGACAGAGTTGTCCTTTCACCGGATCAGCACCCAAGTCCAACAAGTACCGCACCGCCGGCAGATCCCCGCTCCTGCAGGCCTCCCCCAGCACGGTAAATCCGACCGAGCTGACGACATCGTCCACGCCAAGACCGTGCTGAATCAGCAGTTCGATCATCTTGTACGCTGGTGCGTCACTATTATTCGTCAAGGCTTTCCAGACACAGGAGCCGCAGTTTGAGCATCTCGGCGTAAGTTCGGCTCCACTGTCAAGAAGAAAGGCAACTAGTTTAATGGCACCGGAGGAGCATGCTCCCATGAGGGGTGTCTCGCCGTCATAAGAAGGGATGTTGATGGTTTCAGGAGCTCTCTCATAGAGAAGCTTGGCAATCTCGAACTTTCCTCGAGAACATGCTGACCAGAGCGGTGTCTCCTGATAGTAGAACGATTGAATGTTGGGTTTGGCCCCTGCTTCGAGGAGACATTGAACAATCTCCAGGTGGCCTTCTCTGGCTGCAATGTTCAGAGGCGTTTCGCACACCAAGCCCTCATTAGCCTGGTAGTTCACCAGCTCCGGCTCATGTTCGACATATAGCTTGCATAAACCAAGATTTCCCTCCTGGACTGCAGCCTGTAGCGGGGTTCTGGGGTCACCAGGTGCTAAGAATCGCTTTGTATCGGCACCGTGATCCAGGAGTAGCTTCACCAACTCTACATCCTTCTCCGCCGCCTCGATAAGGATGTGGTCGAAGTCTTTTGGTACATAGTTGATACTTGGAGGCAACGAATGTTCCAGAAGCAACTTGAGAATTCCCACATTGCCCCCATATACGGCTGCGTCCAGAACGCCAGGGAGATTGTAAGCTTCTTCCAAGGTGGGGTCTGCACCGTGCTTCAGGAGAAGCTCAACCATTGGGTAGTTCTGATTCTTGACTGCTAGCATTAATGGTGATCTTGTATGACGTTTTGCCTTGGGATTGATAGTGTTGATGGAGCTGTTATAAGAGATCAACAGCTCTGCGATATCGAGGTTTCCGTTCGGGTCTTTATCGCCGCTGCTCTACTGTCAGTCTGATACACACGCTTCAAGAATTCGATGCCTTACATGTCTTCCATTCTCCCCGCAACGAAGTCCACGGCAACAAACAGTGGTGACTTGTCGCTTGCCTGTGGATGACGGTCGGGATTTGATCCGGCCCTTAGAAGCAATTCGACGGCCTGGAAGTTCTGCTCGGTAATCGCGTAAGATAAAGCCGTCAATCGAACTGGTGCACCGTTACTGGACTCAGAGTCCGTGAGAAGATCAACGTCCAAGTCCCGTCGTTCAAGCAGATGAGGAAGCCAATCAGCGTATTTCGGCTGCACCAGCAAGTGTATGGCAGCAAAGCCCGCCTCATCTCTCTGGTTGATATCGTCGATGTTGTCTAATAGGTGTAAAAATATGTCGAAATGCATGTCGACGATTGATGCTGTCATTGGTATCAGTCTATCTGGGACAGGAAACTTGATATTCAGGTCGGCCCCAGCTCGACTAAGCTTGTCGATGATCTGATAAGAATATTTCGTTGGCTTGCTGAATGCCTGGTGTATGGGCGTCGACCCGTCTATATCTGAGATGTTGGGGTTGGCCCCGACTCGAAGGAGCTCCTCGACCAGGATCGGGTTTCCGTTGCTGCATGCCAGCCACAGAGGGGTCTCTCCCCTGTAAGTAGACATGTTCACATCTGCTCCTGCTCTCTTGAACGCATCGATCATCTCTGAAATGAGATCTTGATCCGGATCGGTGTTGAATCTACAAAAGAACATCAACGCGGTGGCGCCTATGGCGTAGTCTCTTCGGTTGATGTCGAAGGGACGCTGCAGGAAATGGCGAACCATATCTGGCAGACCCACCGGCTCCTTTGCAGCATGCATCAACGGAGAAAGACCTGCTTCGTCGACTATCATCTCATCATGTCTCTCTCTGAATGAGTCAATGAACATGGCAAGCCGAGGGTAGTCTCTCCACGCATTTTGCTTGAGCCGCCAAAAGAAGCCCCATACTCCGGTTTGCCAAGGGTACGTTTCTGGATCGTCCATGACGTACAAGTCGACAACAAGGTGAACGATATTTGCGGCGTTCGCAGTGATAAGAGCCACGACAGGAGGAGTAATACCATGGGACGATGATATTGTTCCGTCTATGTGGCGACTCCAAGTTCCGTATGATGATGAGTTGAAAAAACGGTGCACTAGGGGTATCAGCTTTGCCGTTTTGTCCCCTGAGAGCTTGAAATGCGTCCGCCAATTTCTTGCTGCGTAATGGTAAAACGGACATTCCCGTTCAGCATCTCTGGAAAGACCTCCTCCAAACATGGGCTGCGAAAGATACTTGAGACAGAGCGACGCCATGTTGGCATGTTGTTCATCTTTGCTGATGTACGAATTGAAGTGGATTCTAAGGGAGGGGTGTAAGGGGGAGGCCTCGAATTCGTCGCTGACTCTGATCAGCCGAGGGCATTGATGCATCAAGATTGTCTGAATATCGATGAACTTCAGACGGGGATTATCGTGAAGGCATGCGAGAGCGTCACGCAAGGTCTTGCCACGAATATGTCCAATGGTGCCTAGGATGACGTGCAGCGCTGAAAGGGCGTAATTGTCGTTGCTAATGTTCTGGAACAAGGGTAGCAGGTTGTAGTCATAGTACTTTCCTAGCTTTTGCGGATATGGAAAGATCCGGCGGCTCATGGAGAACCCGTACTCATCATCATCTCTTGCGGTCGAGAATCCGTCTTCCATGGAGCAATTGGCGTAGACAAAGAATGACTCTGCTTGCTCTTTGATCGAATCTGCCACTTCTGTTGGCGGGTCTTTCGTTGACTTGATGGTACTGAAGTCCTCGACCCTCTTGTCCACGTAAGTGGCAATGTCCTTCCGGATGTCCTGGTCTTTCATCTTGATACGAGTGGCTCTCACGGAAGCCATAGCCATGACCTCGTTCGGGGTGTAAGTGGTGAAGAACTTGAACCTGACGGTATCTCGGGGAAAGAATTGATTGAACGGTCCGGGGGGTGCTGTATGAGGAGGCGGAGGCGGTGTTGAACGAGCGACCGGGTGGTCGATAAGACTAGCTACTAGAGCCAGAAACTCTTTGACAAAACCCACGTCGCATTCGTGGAGCCCATCCACTATCAAGTAGACTGTAATCGACTTTCCAGGACCCTGGCTCAACTGCAGGTGAGACATGATGTCCCGGAGGATACCAAACAGCGCAGCCATGCTGAACCTCCCGTCGGCATCCGGGAACAGGAACTGGCTGCTCAAGAATTCGAACCATTGTGACCGTTCGCGAAGAATCTCTCGGATGAAGTGTTCCATGATGGGTGGCTTTTTGTTGCCTGTTGAACTTGCATTGCAAAAGAATGGGAAGACCAGGTCCCATGGCTTTGATGCATCTCGAGAGAGATGGTTCGCAACAGACTTGGCGAGATATGTCTTGCCACACCCAGCACTTCCGTAAACATAAAAGTATTCGGTCGCGTTGGACTTGGACCATTCAAGAAAGAATGGATGCGTCTCTATCCATGTGCATGTGCCCGGCATCGGATTGATGTCGTGTCCAAGATGAGCATCGTCCCAAGTGCCAAGCCTGTCTATGAGCCTGTCCCGGCGTTCCTTCATGTACTCTAGATTTTCATCAGAACCGGTTCGCAACTCCAAGGTTGAATTAGAACTAACCGATGTTTTTCTTCTTCAACCATGCTTGGTGAGCGTTGCCACCGTGTGCAGCAGGTATTATGCCTGGGGGCAGCCCCATGGCTCGGCTTGGCGGGGGGCGTGGTCGGACAGGGATGTCTACTTTCTATCAGTAACTATCAGAAATCCATGTCTTAGAAGATAACTACCTGGATCCGGTGACGGCGGTCTGGGAACTGGAGAACTTCGCAGTACCGGCGGCGCGGGCGGAAAGAAGACCCTCCTAGACGTGTCTGCCGAGGCCTTCGTCATCAACTCGCCAACTTGCTCAGCCAGCTGAAGATAGATCCTATCCTCAGGGGACGGGAACCTTGTGAGTTGAAAGTGGTCGCAGTCTATGGTTAATGTCTTGCTTTGAGATGAGTCGAGCTCAGCGCGCCGTTTCGGCACTACCTGCTTGGTGTTAGAAAACTCAACATGGTCTTCCGTTTGAAGCTCTCACCAAGGTTTTGTGCGTTTCAGAACCGTCAACAGTTAGCTCAACTCGCCTGACTGCGATGAAGTTAAGCATCTCAAGTTCCGAAGGCAGCCTGTCAAGAAAGGTGGTGTTGACTTCGCGGACGGCATCTGCATATTGCCTTGTGTCGTCCCATGATGGTTTCAAGGATCCCTTTTGGAGACTGAGTGCCGCGATAGTTTTGACTGCCTTCAAAACGCCCTCAGAATCAGTGCCGTGATGTACCGTGTCCAGGAATACAATGCCAGCGATGGAATCTCGGATGTTGAAGTACTCCGGACAACTCAAGGATAATATTACTGCCTTGCTTCGTGTCAATGACGTTGCTTGAGTTACTTCGCGTCTTGCTTTCTTACCTTCTTGACGATGACACCGCCGAGACCATGTGCAATGAAGATTGTTGGTCCTCCTCCCTAGAAAAGCTCTCGTCAGCTGAGAATGCTCAATATACATTGATATCGAATCAAAACGTACACCATTCACTGTGTAACCGGCCATGATTGTTGCGAGGAGTTCGTTGGCGTGGAGCGCGATGCTGGAGGGCGTCATGTTGACTGCGGGATCCGAGTTGTATCCGTATGACCATACTCGCGCTGAGTTTGCGAAGTTGCCGAGGAATTCGGGATCCGAGATCCATATCTTGCCGGATTCATCATGATGCCATGTTGTCTTTGGCGACCCTCCTATGTCATGAACGCAGATGATGCTATCCGAAGTCAGCGTCGCAACTCAACCCGCAAGAGCTTACTTACTTCACCAAAGGCCGCCATCTTGGCGGCACAAGATTCAGGTTTGGAGGGTAAACGCACTCCAAGCTCGGGATGATCATGATGAGCTCTCGATGCGCTGGTAACTGGTTCGCGATTGCGCCTCTCCAGCTTCGTTTGCGCCTCTGTTGATGTTAGCATTGATGAGCAACTCCGCGATCAGGAACGATGAGAAGTTGAAAAGATGCCCCGTCATTCAGCAATAACAGTTACTCCGCCCAGATCAGGCAGCCGCGGCAATGTCTTTTTCATGATGATGACTGCAGAGAAAAGCCAGTCTAGGCGGCCTCATGTGAGGAGTTGACGCTGCTAGGGCTGAACGATTGGATCCTGCGCCACGCGAGCGCGAGCCTGCAGGTGCTAGACAAGGGGGTGGGATGCCCGTTTGGCCCCCAAAGTGGTAAAGGCGTGGCGCCGAGCTAAGGACTTTTGTGTCTTACCAATGGTCCTTTGCTTGTTCAATTATGCAATGCCAGCGCAGCCTGATTTCTGCTGCGGCTGAATCCTTGTTCTGTCCGACATTCTTGTCGTTGCGTCCTTGCTCATGCATGTGCGTCGGACCAGGGTACCTCTTCCGATCCCGGCTTACGGGAAATTGAAGCTATTCGCTCGGGTTCGGTTGGACGTGGTAGTGTGTAGCGACATTCATACTCACTTAGACACAACATAATTGTACCCCCGTTGATCAAAGAGGATATGATTATTGATCTGATCGCCGCGATTCTCACTTCTACATCGAATCATGTTGGAAGTTTGAACCAAGTCCTGCAACCAGCATCTCTTGGGGCCAGTGAGCGGCGTAAGATATCTTTCATGACATAATTGAGGTAATTATGAGGCATTTCCGTGGCGAATGTTGTTTTGGGCTGTGTCTCTTCTCATATCGGCCACATGAAATTTGTACTTTCCTATGCCCATGATTGACTGTCTATACTGTATTCAACAAGTAGCAGTCGCCAGTCTTGAAGCTGGCCGGATGAGATTTACACGTTAAGGTGGTTGATTAAGTATTCGCACTTTCGTCTCAGTTATATTTAAGGAACGGCTTTTGTCTCTTTGCAAGCAGAGACACCACCAATGGTACTGGAAGTGGTTTCATCGTCAGATTCATCAGAAAGATCAGCTCCCGACAGCAATTGGATAGATGAAGGTGCAATATACATAACACAGCCTCGAATAAAGCCAATATTGATGGGATGGTTGCGAATAAGCAGATTCTAGTAATGCCAAAAACTGTTAAAATCCAGTATTGCTTGTGAAGCCTCGCCGTAGTCTACTAAAAGCTTCAAGCTCGCCATTTCCTCATGCTGGCGCCCTTCTGACCCTTCCAAGGCAACCGTCACTTCCCGAGCATGGCCAATGTCCAGTCGTAAGAAAAGATCATTACTTCGCAACCACTTAATAGACGCTAAACTTGTAACGTAGCTCCCGGCAGAGCCGTTCAAACCATGAGGTTGATGCCAGCAGACTCTTTTAAGGGACATGTGACAGATATGTCGGGATCAGACAGGGACGTTAGATATGCGCAGAGTAAAAGTTGCTCTTGAAGTTTCAAAAGCGAACGTCTCCTTAAACGGAAACCAGTTTACTGGCAAATTATACTATCATAGTTGGGCTTAGAGTGACGCATCATGAGAATTCCACAACGAACCGCCAAATAGATTATGCGGTAATGACGTACATCTGCGCCATCCTATGATGTATCATGCCATGGATTCACGACAACTCAACAGCTTCTGGGTAGCGCGTTGACTACCGTTCTGCAAAAACAAACCCATGACTTCTGTTGGTTTCCTATTATCATTCGCAAATAAATACGAGGTGGCCCTCAAAAGAGCCCGGGTCTATGTGACTGCTTCCCACCACGCCAGCCCTCAACGTAGGAGTCTCCAACTCGGTCACTCATGCAGAGGTTGGTAGCAGCAATGTCCCGATGAAGGCCACAATTATCCGAGAGTTGCATTGTGCGCTGCGTCGGTGTGTCTTCAATCCCGCACTCCTTGCAGCCTTTTATCGTGATCGATATCTAATTCCATAATCTTGGAGGACCATCGTCGTCGTCACCAATTACCAAACCCGTTGCATATATCGCAGGTACAAAAGTAGAGTACGGCAATCAGATCTTCAAATCCCCAAAAAGATGTGACTCGTTGATTGTCATGTCGACGTGATCCTTGCTCGCTCACGATGAAGCTCTGATCATCGAAACTTGGAACAGAGGCGCGCATGGCAGGATTGATTAATAGATTACACTCGCTTAAATCCGAAAGCCTTACTTTGCCGGCCGTCATCCTTGTCTTCCACGCGCCTTTCTTTCCACCCTAAATGACCCCGAAATACCCCTCGACAATAGGAAAAGTTCTGATTCCGCCTCTGGATCTCAGTAAAACGTCTCACAGAAAGATCACATCCACAGCCAAGGACATGACCGCGGACAGCCTACTATCGCCATATCACAGTCTCCTTGAAGCTGGACAATCTTCCGGTTGATGAATATTCCTATCTTCTTCAGGACACGGGCTTTGTGTTGCTACGGACCTTTCATCTGCGAAGAAACCTGTACTTCCAGCTCTGGGGCATGCCAAAACGATTTAAGGGAGCCAACGACGCTAGAACCGAAATATGATATTATGCACAGGATGCATTGAGTATGTGACAGGAGTGATGCCAAAGTAAAGCATCTGGGGCATCTAAACAAAGAAAACTCCCAGAGAAAACTCTACAGCTCGTGATTACAGTCATAACGGTGAAAGCTTCCCCTCGTCCAATATGTTCATCGCCATATTCATGTCAAATACCCGAAGTAGCAGATTCTTCACTGCAGAGAGGTAGGGGGCTGAGTGTACCTAATACTGTCTCGGTTGACTGATTGAGACAGGGTTTGAGTCAGCATTGGCATAGAACCTTGCTGGATCCTCGAGCCCATTTGCTTGACTCCGGGTCTAGCTGCATTGTGCGTGACTTCTCAACGTGATAATGGTTCTCAGGCTACGCTTTATGCGTCACGGACGAGTCTTCAATCGCAGCCAGCTGCGATATACAAAGGATCCCTAAATTGAAAAACATCACAACCTCATGCCGCAATTGAAGACCCGGAGCAAAAGAATTGGTATCAACGGACTGTATTCTTTGCTATCCATCTGAGCTCCAGCCCGAAGTCAACAACGTCAGACAGGGAGAAGAAGGTTCCAACGACAAGAAGCAAAAGCTGGCCATCTCTCCTACTCGCTGTGTGAATATTCGTCCCAGAATACACCAGAACCAAACTTGAGATTCGTGGGCCTCCACTTCGGGGATAAAGCAATGACCATCGCCATTCAGGTTGCCTCACAGTGAACCAGGTGAGAACATGCCACGTTCTCTGCAAATCACCCCTTGAGACCAGCGCATTGCGGCTGAGGCTGAGATGGGTTTCGTCTCCCAAAGACACTTTATAGTCACTGCACTATGACACAAAAAGTCACATGATTTCGGATCGATGCCGTACGTCTCTTGCTGTCGCCAGCATACACCCACATTGATTGGTCTCTCGTATATGAGAAGTCTTGACCATTCTATCGCTTTCGAGTTGTCAACGCTATGTGTTCCTTGCAGGCTTCGACCATCATCACATGGACCGACATGATGCCAGCTTGACAAGTTACACATATACAGACCACATCGCCCTTCGCGCCAATCATCACCATCTTCAATTCTTAGTACATTCATTCCGAATACCGCGGTAGCAACACACCCGATGACCAGCACACTTAAGAGTCCCCGATGAACGACCACGGCTAAGCATCAAGCTACATTGTCGACGTCTTATGGAAAGTGCCTCAGCCAGAAATCACAACGATCGACGTTATCAGTGTTATTTGTACGAATATTTCCGGTGCCACAGTTTCTAATTTACCTAGGCATATTATTTATATTACGATCATGCCTGTGCTTCGAGAAGAAACGTACGCCCTGCCCTGGGGCATGTTGAGACTATTTAAGAGGGATAATAGCAATTAGGCGGCATGCTATACAACCCCAAATACAATGTGTGCCAACCACTCGTCCAAAACGGTTTATTCCAGCCCCGAAGCTCCAACTTTCCAAGATCTCTATCACACGCATTGCCCTCTCGATAATGGTATCGCTCCAACCACTAGCAAGACACAAAGCCTTCTCCTATTCAACCAGATCATGACCTTATTCGCACCGAAATACACGTGATCACAACCCCAAGAGCTGAGTAACCCAGTGCACCACGTAGATTCAGCGTCTTGCAGCAGACCGTGCTAAAGCTGGACCGAACCAGCATCGAAACTGCTTGTCTCCGTTCATCAACATCCAAAAGCGAAGCGTCGTGCGCATTGCCGCCTCGAACCACCATCTCCCAGGCTAAATTGCTTGGATTTTATATTACGGCACAGGGAACACAGACACAGGGCCGGATGGGGTATAAAGTCTCGGTCTGGGGGACTCTCGAAAGTTGAAGCGGCAACGGAGAGCAAATGAGCGCTTTGACTATGTGTTGGAGATTCGTTCTCCATTTGAGCTTCAATCCCCAGTCGACAACAACACACAAGTAACCTGAGGATGGCCAAGTAGGTCATCATTCCTCATCTGTATTTACCTCCCAGTATTCAGAGTCCACTACACCGAATATCATGTGAGGGTCATAAGGCCTCGAAGGAGTCGCAACTGCTCAGGCTGAAATATCTAGCTTGCAAACCACACAAGGCGGTGAAATTTCGCTGGCAATGGAAACACCAAAGACCGAAGGCATTCTGGGTTGCGGAATAACTCCTCTTCCAAGAGCACATTTATATAGGTCACATCACAAGACACAAAAGATTTCATAACTGTAAACATTTCAATAAAGCAGCAAAAGGGCAAGGGGGACATCTTCCCTCTAGGCCTCCCCGCTGCCACTTCGTTGCTGCTGCTGACCCCCTTTAGGATAAAGAGTAAAAAGATACCCCGTTTTTGCCCTGAAAACGCCGTGCCAATGCAAAAAGAAGCCTTTCGGG